GTTCATCTTAAAAGGCCTCCGATCGTAATTGTCTGATTCTGTGCGCAGGCAGTGGATGCCCTGTGACTTCATTTATGATGACCCCGTTTCAACCCACCTCCAGCCCCTCTTCCACCATCATAGCTAAAGCTTCATCAGAGTGTCATTCCACCCGGACTATTACTGCATTCCCTGTCTCATCTTAACCGGTCCAGTAAAAGCCATGTTGAGCCTAGTTCTGCCAGAGGTTTCCTCTCCAATGTCGCTCCATGCTTGCTCATAATGGACAGGTTCTCTCAATTTGTGTTAGTATCAGCTCGCGCAATTCACTGGATCTCCCCATAAAGCTCAGCATACCGTCTCGATAACCAACAGTCTACAGACTGACCAACTTCATCTATCTCCACTCCACCACCAGTTTCAGGCCTGGGGGAAAAACAGCCCTATTCTTGGCTCCTGTTCATGCATATCTATCAAAATTAAGCGCTATGTTTCCTGCCGAGGTCTGAGCGCCAAAGACAAAGTAATTGTATCACTAAATTTCTCCTAATTGTCTTTTCTCTTCATCTGAGTTTTTCAGATTGAAATGTATAGATACTAAAAATAATGTGTTTTTATTCACGAATATATGAGAGGAATAGACTTTTTACAATAGATTGCTAGTAAGTGTAAGACTAAAAAGAAATGGATGTAGAGGGGGATACAAGGCCAAAAACACTATTAATTTGACTATTCAAAGTGACAAAATTATTATTATTATTTTTTTTTTTTTGCAGCACTAGTGGCTTGTTTTTTTATGGACGGTAGGATGACAGGAAAGAGGGTATAAGAGAAAGGGACATGCGGGAAATGAACACATGCGCGTCGAGGACTAAGGCTTCCATACATGGGTCGTGTGTGGTAACCACTGCGCTACCAAAGCACAACCCCTAAATTATTGTTTTAATTTCTAGAATTTCCAATCAAAGTGATGAGATGGAGTTCATTTAGTGTTTTGAATAGAAAAGTAAATTCTAAAAATAAAGATTAGGAGGCAAAGTGGCTCTTTAAGAAATTATTTTTAAAGGTTTTAATTAAGTGTGTTTCTGCTGAAATGTATTAATTTGTATTTTTGCAGAAAAAGCGAGATGCAGTCAGCGGTGTGAAACAAGACGCACAAAAGATCCTTGGAGAAGGAAATAATTTACTAGATGAGGCAAATCAGCTTTCTGACAACATCAACAAGGAACTTGAGGTACCAAAAAAAATTGTTGTTGTTGATTTTGACCTTGGTCTGCTGAAAAGAAATTAAGTCATTTTATTTTGTTAAAGATATTTAAATGTAAACCTATGATCTCCATTTGTAGGAGTTAGAGGGGATGGAAAGAGATCTTGATCCTCTTCATGCTCAGCTGGATGACAAAGTTCAGGGACTTGCTGATGGCTTGAGTGATGGTAGCGTTGCAGAAAAAGTCGGCGAAGCAGAGGAACATGCCAAACAGCTGAATGAGTCTGCTGCCATTTTAGACGGGTGAATACAGTACTAACAAAGCTCTGTTTTACCATGTAGTAATGGAGCCGTCAGCTGCACAGTGGAAAGGAAATCATGTAATAAAATTATGTAAATAAGGGATGTTTTTTTTTTTGTATTTAAAAGCTTGTATTAAAAAGGATTTTTTCTCTGTAAAGTACTGACATATCCTAAAGAGGAAAAGGATTTTTTTTGTACTTTCCTTATATTCCTGTTTTCAAAATTTTTAAATTTGAAGAAATTATAAGATTTAAGAGTTGTGTCTCGACATTATTACAAAAGCATAAATTTTATTTGATTGAAAATGCTTTTTTGTCATAAGGGTTGATAATTTTTTTTTATTTTTCTTGTTTTTATTTCCCCCTCTCTCTTACTCTTTACCTTATAGCATTTTGGCTGAAGCTAAAAACCTGTCTTTCAATGCAACTGCTGCTGTCCATGCTTATAGTAATATTAAAGCCAATATTGATGCAGCAGAGAAAGAGGCAAAGGCAGCCAAACAGAATGCAAATGAGGCTCTGTCACTGGTAAGACTTCAGAAACGTTATCTTTTCAGTACATTTTAAATTCTTTTTTCCATGTTTTATGGTCATTTTGGTTTTATTTGTGTCTGAAATTGATTTCTTAATTAGATTTTATCACTCATACTTTTATTACAACTGAAATATACAGACCTTAAATGACTATAAGTATTACATCAAGTCATCAAGGTCCTTAAGGTGTGTCCTCTCAATATAATAAATATTTGTCCAAGCATGTATCCTGAAAGGAAATGTTGGCTTGACTCTTTGTTTGTGATTATATCCAAATCATAGTGTATTTTGTTCTTATTTTTTGTCTAAAATATTCTTAAAATTACAGTAATGATGAATTTCAAGTTTTAAGATTGATAGAATAGATAGAAAAATAGAAAACTGTCTGTCCTCTTTTTGTGCTGAATTTGATGTTAAGTGACAGATTTTGCATGGCTGCTTTTTCAGGTTTTGGGTCCAGATGTTCCAGTAAAGGAAGCGGCTCAAATTGCCCTCCAGAAGAGTCAAATACTGCTGAACAAAGCCAAACAACTTCAGAATGATGTTAAAGGTACTGGCTTTTTCCAATAATGTCTACTGGACTTGGATTATAAACACATGTAGGTCCTTTTGTTTTAGATTTTACCAGTGTCACTTGGACACACAAAATAATCTTTTAAACATTGCAAAAGCAATATTATTTATTAACAAGTTTCTCACCTTTTTATTAACAAATTAGGTTATTAGTTAAGCATTTAAGCCATTAAAGTCCTATTTTAAAGGTATTTTGGAGGATTTTCTCGAACACTCGCCCTGTCCACATCTCCACATTACACAAAAATGCAGGTGCGAGTGCATGCACGAGCCTATTTCTCCTTGTGCACGCTCCGTTTAAAAGTTGCTGTTCTCATAGCTCATACAAGCTTACTGTCTCCGAACGTCCGCCCTAACCCCTAAAACCCTCAATCAATATATAGAGTGGGGAATTTATAGTGAACTCACTCTACTTACCGTTCAAAAACAGATGATCACTTCCCCGTTGGTCAACTGCGCGGTCCCCTCACCATCTTTATTAGTCGCTGCTGCCACATAATGCTTTGTGAGGAGAGCTCTCTGCGCAAAGCATTCTTGAATATATCTGCCTTTTCTGAGGCCTTTCTTTTCTTCTCATACAGTTTGTAGACACTTTTTCTCTTATGACCCTTGGCCTGTCAAACTGTTGAATTTATAGTGTCTCCATAAAATCAATAGTACTGTAAAGTAAACTACCTCAACAGTGTCTCCATTTTATTTTTACAACATGTTAATGGTCTTTACGAAAGTCTGTTTTCCTCTGTAAATTTGATGCAAATAATATTGTTCATTAGATGGAAAGGGAAGATATCCCATTACGACAGAGCTTGACATATCCTTATTTACTTTGTGTTTAGAAAATGCAGACAATGTGGCGGGACTGAAGGGGAGAGTTAAAGCAGCGAGAGACAAAACCAAAGGCCTTCTGACTGCTGTTAATGGAACCCTGGCTACACTCAACGCTATGCCCAATGGTAAGATTGTTCAATCCTCAGTCATAAAAGGCTTGCCTGACGGCATATAAATCAATTAGTGTAATAAATAGGCTTTTAAATTATATTGTAGTTTGGAACAAATATCTTTATAAAGATGATTATTTAGATCTGTTAAGTAAGCTTTAAAATGTACTGAAATTATGACACATTTCCTCTATATTGCTTAGTCTATATTGGTGTCATAGCCCAGGTGCTCATTTTATTTACCATTTTAATGTTTTATAGTGTCCATGCTATAGATGGTAACCCATTTCTTTACAGCTACCAGTTTGTAGAGAAAAGCCTACAGTGAAGAAGTTGCACTCTTCTCTTTAGTTAACTTTGTTTGCTTTAAATGTCTGTAAAATGACTAATGCTTTAGTATTGCTCCTTGTGACTCACCAACACTCACTTTAAATGTAGGTCAAAGGTTAGTCTGCAGCAGCCGAAGCAGTTTATCTGTTAGTGTAGTCATTATCTGGATTGTAGGACTTTTGGGTGATGTTCTGATTTCTCAGCGCAGAAAAATAATGTGCATGGCACTGTGAAAAGTTTTGCAAATACACTAACATTGGTTGGTTACATCTGAAGTAGAGATGTACATCTTTTCTATGATTCTCGTCTGCTGTAAGATTTTTTGCATGCATGAAATGTATACGTAGCTATAACTGGCACCCTCATAGCAGCCTTTTTTTTTATTCCCTCTTTCTTACCCTGCTTGTGTTATTGGAATTGTAACATCCCTTGTTTGCTGTTATGAATTAACAGTTGAAATACAGGTTGAACACAACTGTCAGGTTAGATTTAAAGACAAAGTAGTAATCAGGTTTTATTCAAGCAAAAAGTTGCACGTCTTCTTGAAAGAAATTTAAATTATAGCCATCCTTTAAAGCTATGGTACTTGTTAATTGATGATTGTGCATTGCTTTTTTCACAGATACATCATCTAAATTAGCAGCTACAAAAGCAGTAGCAGCTGATGCCAATGCTACAGCAATAGACGTCCTAGAGCGCCTTGCAGATCTGAACCTCCGCCTTGGAAACCTGCAGCTGAACTGCAGCGAGTTGGAAGAAACTGTTGACGCAGCCAATCAGATGATCCAGGACCCTGAAAAAAACAGTAAAGTGCATTATCATTGATTATCTGCATTAACTCACAAATCATTCAATTATATATGCTTGATTTTTAACTGGGTTAATTTACATTTGCTATAATTAAAAACTAAATACAAGTAAACACTTTTTAATAAACTTTAACTGGTAAATTTACCTAAATTTTGATATATTTCTTCTTGTTTCTCTTTTTTTCAATCCCCACAGCAATCAGTATGTATATTTCACTTACCTTAATGGAAAAAAAAAATTTTATGTCGTATTTGGTGCACCAATACTCAATAAAAGTGTATTTTTGGATTTTAGACCTCGAATCTGCTGTTTTTCACAAAAAGAAAATCCAAAATTTCAGTTGTCAACATCATATGTCAATCTGTTATGTCTTCTTAACAGTTGATAAGAATTTAAACAGATTTACAAAGCTGTATTGATGCACCATACACTAATTTTTTGGCTGCCTTTAGTATCTGTACCCTACATTTGCTGCTATTAATGCCTCCATTCAAATGAGCATGAAATCTGGGCTCATCGCAAGGCTTATAACGCCTTTCCAATTTTTAAAGTTCTTTCTATTACTCTCTTACACAGTCTACACTGTCAAATTAAAGTATTTCTCTTTGAATGCTAAGCTACACTAATTTCTTTGGCTCTCTTATGATTCACTTATCTTCGTATTCTTTCTTCTTTCTTCTTATTCTTCTTTCCTGCAAGCTTTTGACTTTCAGCTGTGATAGTTTTGAAGAATTGTGCCATCGTTTTTACTCGTTTTCCTCCATCTCTCTCTACTCTTAGTCCATGCTGCAGGAGCTAAAGTGAAGGATTTGGAGGATGAAGCCGACAGGCTGCTGGAGAAGCTGCAACCAATTAAAAAGCTTCAAGACAATTTGAGGCGGAACATCTCACAAATAAAGGAACTGATCAACCAGGCCAGAAAGCAAGCCAATTCAGTATGTTATTTTCACATTCACTATGTTATTGTGGTCAATCAGTGAGGAAAAAGAATTTTATTGAGAAATTATTATTCCTTTGAGACAGTTTTTTTCTTATGCACATTTGGAGCGTGAGTCCCCACGAACCAGCGTGGCCATAACATAAATGTTTGCAATAAAAAACTTTTTTTTATATATTAGTCTTATTTACGATCATGTGTTTTATAAACTGAACCTTGAAGTTAGACGAGCTACAGGCTATATACATGTTTTTCTGCAAGGAATCAAATGATACCCTCTCATTTAAAGAAATTCCAATAAAAATGGAGAACCACCCTCAAATCCACTTCTTTATATTGGCTTTGATTGTATTTGTTTTTCTCTCACTTAAAGGTTTTTCAGATTGTCAACAAAAAATCCTTAAAGAAAAAAAAAGATTTAACTCCTTGTTTCCTGTTTTCTAGATCAAAGTTTCTGTTTCATCAGGTGGTGACTGTCTCCGTAGTTATCGCCCTGATATCAGAAAAGGAAGGTACAATACTATCATCCTTCATGTTAAAACCACCACACCTGATAACCTCCTTTTTTACCTTGGATCTGCCAAATATGTAAGTAAAATCATTTTTAATGGTTTGAAAATGCACAAATGTATCTATTTCTAACACATTGTCTTAAGTTCCAGATGATACGGTACCCAATATATAGATGTCATTAATGTAGGTTTATGTTGTAATCCTAAGTTTATGCTGTATATGTATCACTCTTGAAAATGTCTGGGGGTTTTATGTGTTCTGCTTTTTTGCAAACACAAAAACATGTATATAAAAAGACAAAAACAAGTCATGTCTTAAACTTGAAAAAAAATAACAGAGCTCAGCCTACATCTAATCCCTTTGTGATTTATCTAATGTGAGAATAATTAATACATCTTGACACATACCCCCTAGAACCCTTAAAATATAACACAGCACTGTTTTAAAGGTACTAGTGATAGTCCCTAAGTGCGTGCAGTGTATTTCTGTGTGAGCGTGGGTGTGTGTATGGGTGTGTTGGAGTGGAGCAGCAATTAACAACAAGCTTGTGTTACTCTCAGCTTTTCCCTGATTTCCCCAGAGGAATCTTTGCTCCGCTTCATCTGAAGGGGGCGTCTCAAACACATATGTGTTTCGGTCTCTCATGGATATTCTAATTTAGTATAAATAATAATTCAGTGTGTGTTTTTGTTCACGTCTTACATTTTTACTAATATTGAATGCAAGTTGAATAATAATGTTTCTCTGTGATCTCTGCTAATGAATAATCGCCTGTACTCTAGAGAGACTAGAAAGAAAGTGTGTTCACTTGTGTGTTTGTGTGATTTGTGTTTTCCAATGCGACTCACTGATAATATCTAATTGTCCATAAGGTGATATGAATAATTATTTTTTGCAGTTCAAAGACGGCAGAAGAGGCTGCATGCTCAGAATTCACATATCAATTTTTTTTTAAACTCATACATAAGTGATAGGGTTGTTAATCAAAATACAAATAAATCCTGTGGAAAATCCAGTTAAAGGGGCCACTAGAGAAAACTTCAGCTTTTGTAATCTTGAAATAGACCTGAGCTGGGTGTAAAATCCCTTTATCATTCTCTTTTACATTTATCTCCAGGATAAATGCTACAATTGGTTCTGTTTGATGGGTAACACATAAAAATTGGGACCCTGGTTAGTATTTCTATCTTATTTCCAACAAATACCTTTCTATTAAATGGTTGGATGCTGATAAGTTTCCAAATTCCTCCATTCCTTTAAGACGGTGAGATTTGTGTTGTCTGCGATCTGCTTGCATAACCAATGAGGGTTGCGTACTGCATTTAACCAAAGTTCCAAGAAATCTGGATGACCACTAGGAGACGTACTAATCACCTGGCTATCTACATATGTGCAGCACAGAGGTGACAAATATATATTAACAAAGTCACACCACTGGACGTGTTCTAGGTGATGTCAGTGGGAGGCTTGTATACCTGCTGCAACTAGCACTTTTCTGAATGTAGTCACATGACTTACGTGCAACTGTGGCGGTCATCCTGAAGTTAAAGAACTTTGATTACATTTATAACCCAAATATTATTTAATTCCTCCTAACACAGGACAGGACAGTTATTACCTCTTGATGACACATTGATAACAATGTCATTTAAGAGTCCACATTTACTTCACTGTGTGCAGAATTATTAGGCAAGTTGTATTTTTGAGGATTATTTTTATTATTTGGCCACAATTGGGTTCTCAATCAACCCAGAAGACTCCTTAATATCAAAGTTTCATATTTTTGGAAGTTGATGTGTTTTTTTTAGATTTGGCCATTTTATGAGGATGTCTGTGTGTACAGGTAAATATTAATGTGCAGAATTATTAGGCAGCATAATAACAAACAAATATATACCCATCTCATAGCTACCTTTCTTCACCATGACGCTCGAAAACCTTCCATCCATAGATTCTGTCAGTGTCTTGATCCGTTTGCGATCCACATTGCGTGCAGCAGCCACCACAGCCTCCCAGACACTGTTCAGAGAGGTGGACTGTTTTACCTCCCTCTAGATCTCACATTTCATGAAGGACCAAAGGTTCTCCATGGGGTTCAGATCAGGTGAACAAGGGGGCCATGTCATTACTTTTTTTCTCCTTTTAAACTTTTTCTGGCCAGCCACGCTGCGGTGTATTTTGATGCGTGTGACGGATTATTGTCCTGCATGAATATCATGTTTTTCTTGAATGTCTTCCAGAAACTGGAAGTAGGTCTGGGAGTTGATATTGATTCCATCATCAACCCAAAAAGATCCCACAAGCTCAGCTTTAATACCAGCCCATACCAGTACCCCACCTCCACCTTGCTGGCATCTGAGTCGATAAGGAGCTTGTGGCCCTTTACTGATCCAGCCTGGTGCCCATCCATCTGGCCCATCAAGACTCACTCTCATTTCATCAGACCAAAACACCTTGGAGATATCAGTCTTCAGATATTTCTTGGCCAAATCTTGACATTTGGTCTTGTGTGTCTTGTTCAAATGTGGCCTTTTTTCGGCTTTCCTTACCTTGGCCAGGTCCCTGAGTATTGAGCACCTTGTGCTTCTCAGCACTCCAGACATGTTGCAGCTCTAAAATATGGCACAACTGGTGGCTAATGGCTTCCTGGCAGCTTCATGCTTGATCCTTCTTAATTCATGGGGAGTTATTTTACGTCTTCTTTTTTCAACACGGTTCTTGCGCCCCTGTTGGCTATTTGCCATGAACCGCTTGATTTTGCGATAAATCCAGCTTCAAAAGCTTGGCAGTTTCCAAACTGCTGCACCCCTCTGAAAGACATCTGACAATCTTTGACTTTTCAGAGTCAAATCTCTTTTCTGACCCATTTTGCCAAAGGAAAGGAAGTTGCCTAATAATTAAGCACACCTTATATAGGGTGTTGATGTCATTAGGCCACACCCCTTCTCATTACAGAGATGCACACCACCTGATTTACTTAATTGGTAGTTGGCTTTCAAGCCTATACAGCTTGAAGTAGGACAACATGTATGAAAAGGATGATCTGGTCGAAATACTAATTTGCCTAATAATTCTGCACACAGTGTACATATCAGTGGTCAACTGTGCAGGTAGACAACACTATGACAGCCACTGCATGAGGAGCAGTGACATTCCTCCTGTAGAAGTGGGAAAGGGTAAAGGACGAAGCCCAGGTAGCTAAAATGTAGATGTCACTAAAGGTACACCTCTTACTGCAGTCCAGGAAGTGGAAGTCCCTCTGTTCCTGCTGAGCACATAATTAAACCTTCGAGAGTTTCCATGAGGGCACAAATGCAATCCTCAGGTGCCTCAAATGTAAAGCACAGTTCAAAAAGTGACACACTAACCACTGACCAACTATTCACAAAGAATTGTCAGGAAGGGGTTACAGAAACAAACACCTTTAATAGTGGAGGCAAAAGACCTCCAGCGGTTATTTTAAATATCTGAATAGCCTTGGCATAGGGTAGCACTATGGGTCCAACCTGTGACCTTTGCACCAAACAGCTTCCATCTGTTATATCATAAAATGACAGGTAAAAAGGTGACATACACGTAAAAAAAATCTTTACAACTGCCCGTTCACAAGAATTTAATAAGGAGTCTGGCCTTTCAAAAGTCAAGTGAAGAAGAGTGCCAAATGCTACCCTTCTTCCTCCGACGAAGAGCCCAACAATCCTAGAAGAGTAGCTTGTGCACACAGCATCCACAGCATCCTGTCCGAGCAGACTGTCAGATTGTGAGATTGAAAACCACGTTACAGTACATAATGTTTTGTTTCGCTTAAGGCAAAGAGGTCCACCTCTGCTACATTATTCTTCTTCCGGATACTCTCAACAACTGGGTTCAGTCTCCACTCTCCTATGGTTTCTGATTGAAGAGTATGATTCTGCATGCCTCGTAGATGGGCCACCCTTACACTCTGACATTGTTTTGCCACAGTTAAATTCAATGCCTTTTCTTTCACACAGCCACTGGAAACAGAAATGTAGTTAAATCCAAATGCAGGGGACCGGGAGATCAGGAATTTATCAAACTATGTTCCTTTATCACGCAGGTCCTCATGGGAAACATTGTCTTTCTTCAGACAACACTGGAGGGAGCCAAAATCACTCAAAAATTAAAGTTCTTTACTACTGTTTTAAACTGTATACTGCTTTAAACCTACATATAGACTCATCATACTGCATTCCCCTAAATAAAACCAGTTTCATAATTTTCCTGAACAAGTCAGACAATTGGAAAACAGTTTGTGTAATAATCAATTTCAAACAGCTAATTTGTTTTCATTGACATGAAACCTGAGATTCCGACACTATAATATTTTATTGACCGTGACTTCAATATGTTTCTTCTGTACCCCAGGTTGATTTCTTGGCCCTGGAGATGCGCAAGGGGAAAGTGAATTTCCTTTGGGATGTGGGTTCAGGTGTGGGAAGGGTTGAATATCCCCATCACACAATCTACGACGGTAATTGGTACCGGATAGAAGCGTCTCGGTAAGAAACTTGCAGGGATGCATATGTGATTGTCCTTTTATTAGTAAATATATTGGCTATAAAACATATGTAGTCCAATTTTATTTACTTTCAACAAGCTATAATAATAAGACAATATTTAATCAGATTATCACAGATGTCATTAACAGAAGGGTCAAATAAAAACAATTCTGTTTTTCTGCTTTCAGAATGTCTGCTGACATTTTCTAAAATATATTTTGTCTTTCCTTACCTCTCACTCACATTATTTAACAAGTAGTGATCAATAGCAACAGAGACCAGAACAGCAGCGACTCAAAATATTTTCTTACCAATGCCAGTGTAGAAAAAACTTGTTTTGACACCTGGGAAATCTAGAGTGTTTAGTCCTGTCAGCCTTTGGCACATCATTTCAAAGATCTTCTCTAATCTATTTTTCCCCTCCCTCTATAAGCTATGGTGTCGTTGTTGTTTGCACACAATCTCATTGACATGAAGGAAGAGTATCACCTGCTTCATGCATTTTCCATCAGAAAGACTTCCCAAAGGTGTTTACCGATTGGATCGCAGACTTTTCAGTCTTTAAAATGTTCTTCTGCACAATGCATAATGTTGACTCCACCGTGAAAGCAAAGATATGGTTCAGCTCAATGCCTCCATAGACACTTGTGTTGCATTTATCAGTGAACTTCTGGTTATTATCAAACCCCTTTAATGTTTCTCCTCGTTTTGCTCTGCAGTAATGGTCTGAATGGTACCATATCAGTCTATCCTTTGGACGGTCCTATGGCTGGCATGATGCCAACACCCGCCAGTGCCAACTCACCCACAGCTTACACCATCTTAGACGTTGACCAGAACGCCTACCTGTTTGTTGGAGGAATTCTTGGCACTGCAAAGGTATTTGTTGGTAAAAGGCATTAATCTGAACATACAGTAATTTGGCTGTACCTTTTTTAACAATTTATTGGTTTTTTTCTGTCCTTCAGAAGGCAGAAGCAGTGAAAACATCAACATTTACGGGCTGCATGGGAGAGACCTTCTTGGATGGTAAACCTATTGGTTTGTGGAACTACAGAGAGAGACAGGGAGACTGCAAAGGTTGCGTTGTCAGGTAAACGAATGGATATATATCAAACTAATATATAATTTATGTTTGTTTTTTTTTACTGTTTTTAGTTGTTGTAATACATTTTGTAAATTACCAAACAATGGAGTCTTCTACTTATCATCCTTCTATCTCTGATATGTAAAGACTTTTTTGGAAGGTGGGTGAAAAAATTAGAAATTGCATCCAGCTTTGTTCTTTAGTCCTCAGCGAACCGATGGTGAGGGGACAGTTCAGCTGGACGGGGAAGGCTATGCTGCAGTTGGACGACCAACAAGGTGGAACCCAAATGTTTCCACGATAACCTTGAAGTTCCGCACTTTCTCCTCTGATGCTTTGCTCATGTACCTGGCCACTGAAGACATGGTATGTTTGTGAAATAGAACTTTTCCATCTTTTTCTGCATTTCAGGATTTAAAAATAAAGATTATGTAAAATTATAGTTATTATAATTATAGTTATTTGTAAAGAATCACAACAAGCAGGACACAATCATGAAGTGAAACAAAATGTATTGGATGTTTTAAACTTTTTTAGCAAATAAAAACTGAAAAAAATTGGTGTGCAAAGTTTTTCAGCTTCCTTGATTTAATAATTTGTAGTCCCATCTTTTGCTGCGAAAACAGCTCCAAGGCTCTTGGGGTTCGTCTCTCAGTTTTGTACATCGAGAGACTAATTTTTTTAGCCATTCTTTCTTGAAAAACAGCTGAAGCTCAGTGAGGTTGGATGAGCCTTTTTGAACAGCAGTTTTTAGTTCTTTCCACAGATTCTCGATTGGGTTCAAGTTTGTACTTTGACTAGGCCATTCTAACACCTGGATATGTTTGTTAGTGAACCATTCCATTGTAGAATTTGCTTTATATTTTGGATCATTGGAAGATAATTTCCATCCAAGTCTCAGGCCTTTTGCAGACTCCAACAGGTTTTCTTCCAGAATGGTCCTGTATTTGGCTCCATCCATCTTCCCTGTCGCTGCTGAAGAACAGCAGGCCCAAACCATGATGCTGCCACCACCATGTTTGGCAGAGGGGATTTTGTTCAGGGTGATAAGCTGTGTTGGTTTGGTTTTATCTGACCAGAGCACCTTCTTTCAAATGTTTGCCATGTCTCCAAGGTGACTTGTGGCAAACTTTAAACAATTCTTTTTATGGCTATCTTTAAGAAATTGCTTTTTTCCATAAAGACCAGATCTGTGTTGTACTATGAACAGAGTCTCCCACCTCAGCTTTAGATCTCTGCAGTTCACCCAGAGTGATCATGGGTCTCTTGGCCGTATATCTGATCAGTCTTCTACTTGTTTGAAGTTAAGATTTAGAGGGACGGCCAGGTCTTTGTAGATTTGGTCTGATACTCCTTCCATATTAATATTATCACTTGCACAGTGCTCTTTGGGATGTTTAAAGCTTGGAAAAGATATCTTTATGCAAATCGGCTTTAAACTTTTCTGAATCAGTATCTCTGACCTGCCTGGTGTGTTTGCTGTTCTTCATGATGCTCTCCGAGCCTTAAACCGACCTCTGAGACGATCACAGTGCAGGTGCATTCATACGGAGGCCTGGTTACACACAGATGGATTCTATTTTTCACTGTCAGTCATTTAGGTCAGCAATGGATCATTCAGAGATCCTCACTGAACTTCTGGAAAGAGTTTGCTGCACTGAGAGTAAAGGGTAAAAAGTATCCAATAAATTTCATTCCACTTCATGATTGTTTCCCACTTGTTGATTCTTCACACAGAATAAAAATTGTATATCTTTACATTTGAAACCTAAAATGTGGCAAAAGGTCAGAAAGTTAAAGGGGGTTGAATACTTTTGCAAGGCACTGTAGGTGGTTTATTGTAGAGCTGCACAGTATAACAAAACATGTCATGGCAATACTGGTGTGGGCAAGAGCTTCACAAATGACTGTTTGGAATATCTGTTAGTTTTTAGATTCCCAACTTCTTGCACTGCATACTAATAAAACCCATTATTGGTAGCATGTTGCATGAAGTGTCGCTAAAGACCCTGGCATGTGTTCGAATAATATTATAACATTGTGCTTTAAAGGCTTTATTTTCTTTGTATGCAGTTAAAGTAACCGACTCTTACAGCTATTTTTATGTTGATGTTCTTTGCAGAAGGACTTCCTATCTCTGGAGCTGTCAGAAGGGAAGGTGAGGGTGAATTTTGACCTTGGATCAGGGGTTGGTAGTGCCACATCAGCTAACCGCCACAATGATGGACGCTGGAAAGCTCTCACCATGTCAAGGAACAAAAAACAAGGTACTGCTGGGAATTTGTAAGCCTTATGTCATCAGACCAGATAACAATATCAAGAGTGATATATAAGGAAATGTTAAGGACTCTTTTGCTAAAACTCCTTTCATTCATCTTGTTATAGCTGTTGTGATTGTCGTGGATATCAGCCAAGGTACTGAGGAAAAGATTGTGGCCATATCCAAGGGTTCGGCTACTGGTCTTAATCTGAAGGAAAATCAGAAAATATATTTTGGTGGTCTGCCAACGATTGGAAACTACAGGTACTTGAATATATGCATATGTGCAAAATGGTGTTTATTCTGTTCAACATAAGAGGGATCTAAAACGGCTCGACAGATTGACTATTTCTAGTGTTTTTCCTCTTACAAAATTTAAATTACTGAAGTTACAGGAATCAAAGATTCAAATTAGTTGCAAAGTTTGCTAATGTCTATTGTGTTCTTTTTTAACAGCATGGCAGCCAGGTAAATGGATAAATAAGATCATTTTATTGAGAAAAAAGTTCCCAGCTAGTTTATCACTGCATGCTGCTAGCAATGCTGAAAGTGCTGCACAGTTACTGCATATGATTTGTTGGCTTGCAGATAAAGGCCTTTTCAGCAAATCACTTTTCTGTCCTTCATTAGCCTGAATTTGATGTTTGTTCCAAAATAAGTAGTGCCTTGCAAAAAGCAACAACACATCCTGTCATGGTGAAACCACAAAACTGAGAGTATATTATTGGGATATCTTTTGTTAGATAAAGTAGCAACAAGCACTTGTATACATTTTCTTTATTCTGATACCACCATTGCTTTATTATTATTATTAGTAAAAAAAAAAAAAAAAAAAAAAGACATGGAAATCGAGTACAAGGAATTGCCTTCAGGTGTGACTAGTGACAAGAATGACAAAAAGTTAGGAGAGACAGGAAAACTAAATAATGGAAGTTGCTAAATAGAGGAGTGGTACTGGAGCACTTGACATTGGAGCAGTATGGCAACCATAAACATACCGTACACTCTGAAATACAAATGAATCTTTTAGATCAAGCATATGTACCAATTTATCCACCTTTTGCTTTAAATACGGCAAAACATATTTAAAAAAAATACTGACGCCAGAAAATCTGAATGAATCTGAATTCTCATATTTCTTAGTATGTAAAAAATGTGCACATCATGCTCCTTCCACTGCAGAATAATCAAGCAAATCTATATTAAAATCATTGCTTGTTTATTTCTGTTTGTAATGATTTTTAGCCAAGATCAAGAGCCATTGTGGAAGGTGTATTGACTTTGGAGCCAAGGTCACAGATCCTTCACCTATCACATGAAATTCAAGAAAATACATTAAAATTTGTGGATAAAACAGAAAATAACAAGTTAGAGGAACACTACTTTTTATAGTACGCTTGGTACTTGGGAAAGAAAAATTCTGCAGGACATAAAAAATTATCAATAAGAATTTTTTTCTCTCCTATGCTTTCTGTAACCTAAACTTTGATGCCTAAAGTCAAAATCCCCTAAATCCAAATAGTGTCAACCGTAATCAGTTTGAACAAACAACATATTCAGAAAACTCTTTTTGATTTCCAAACTTTCGTTGGCTTCCAGATGCTGTATCATGATGCAAACATTTCATGGCTGCAGTAATCCAGCTTCACTGCTTAGAGTCAAAACCCAATGAGTATTTAATTTCCTTTTCTAATATTCTGATTTACTATGATGGCTTTTTTCTTTTTAGGTCAGAGGTGATTCTGAAAAGGTATGCAGGTTGTCTCAAAGACATAGAAGTCTCCAGAACTCCATATAATCTTCTAAGCAGCACTGATTATACAGGGGTTACTAAAGGATGTAATGTCGAGGTAAGATAAATCATTGGTTTGTGGCCTATTGTTGACTTTAAAATCTAATTAACATCAACCAATATTTATATGTTAGACAAATGCTTGAGCTCATAAAAAAAGTTTGTTAAAAAAACAACATAACGCTAAAGAAATGCGATTTAAAAAGGCCTTGAAATTAGTTAAATTATAGCGCTGCTTCATTCTAAATGCTTCATTTTCACCCAGGCTCTCCTGTTTTCATGTAAGTACATCATTGATTCTGCCATTCACCTTTTGATCTTATTAAGGGAGGACATGAAAGCAGAGGCTAGTTCAAGCTGTCTAACTATTTGTGTTTGCTTCTCCCACACATGTAAGGCAACCTTCACAAAGACTTCTATGCAGCTGTATCATCATGAATATAAAGCCTTTCCTTGATCAGAATATGTAAAAGGTTAAAAAGATTCTAGGTTGAGTGTTTAAGTCAGTTCTTTATTTGAATGTGAATCTGAAGGTTTTAAGTTTATTATTTTTTTACTGTGGGCATAGTGCTGCTTTTACAGTCAAATTGTGAGGATTTATTCATATTTTAATCAATTAAGAGATTTTAGCAGATGAGCGATTTAGTTTTTAAAAAGTTGTATCCCAATACCCAAGTTTTCAATACCTATGTTTAATTGTGAATTGTTAATCAATACAATATGATTTGCTTCTGTCTTTTAGAAACTCTACACAGTGAGTTTTAGTAAACCAGGATACATGGAGCTGGATGGCCTTTCTTTTGCAATCAATACGGAGATCAGCTTGTCTTTCAGCACTCTATCAGACACTGGGATTATATTGCTGGCAGTAGGAGGGACTTCACCAATCAGCAAAGAGGTTATCTTTTTGTTTCTTACTTAAGCAATACTTTCAAAAGACATTGAACAGATTGTGATGTTTGTTTCACTCAAATAAGGAAAAAGGCTTTAATACCATATTTTCCTCTCATCTCACTATAAGCCGCGTCCACTATTTTTCTTTTTCTTTTAAACTAGAAACTTACACATATAAGCCGCACCGGGCTATAAGCCACTGATAGCTGCTGAGCTGTCTCCTACCAAACCTGTAGGGGGAGCTCTACATATCGCCCCCTAGAGGAGGGATGAAGAATGCTAGCTCCCGTTTGCTTGTTGGCTCGCAGCAGTAAGATCTTCTACTGAAAGATCGGGATTCGTCTGCTCTTTATTTAAGCTCTGCAAAATATTTTAAAGCATGTTCTTGTGCTAAATGAAAATTAGCCTCTTATTTTTTTATTTCCAATTTGGACTTCCCCCTCTGGCGGTTAGGAAAAATCAGCATAAAAGCCACTTCTTCTTATAAGCCGCTTGGTTCAAAGTTAGGGTATAAATTTGTAGCATAGATTTCTTTATTTATTTGTTTTTATTATATCTATTTATCTAGGACTGTTCCTATAAAAAACAAGAAAAGATTTTGCAAGTATCCTTTGAGTCTACAATGATATTGGGTGTTATGGAAGCAAGTGATTCTGGTTGTATTGTCATGGATAGGAGCTTTAAAAACAAATTCTCATCTTGATCTTATTCCTAATATGCTGTAATTTTCTGTGCAAATTTAAAAACTGTTTTTTTGTTTTTGTTTTTTTGCTAGTATTTCAGACTTTTGACCCATAATTCTCCAAATGATAAAACTAAAGCACAACTGATACATTTTTAGTAAGACATTAGTGTATAAATTTGGCTATATATTTTTTAATGTTGATAAAAGAAAATGCATGTTATATAAATTTTTTTCTTAGACCTTTCCTTTCATAAAGGCATTACAGTTGTAATTCAATAAAAAGAAATTAAGGTGGAAAAAATTATTTTCAAAAAAATAACCCCATGATTATGTTAAATTCTTACACAAACACACATGGATGATTTTTGAATTGAAACAGTCACCCAGTGGAGAAAAAAAAAAAAAAACTTCAAAGATCTAACTTTGTTCTCATAAATTTGTTTTTTTTTGTTGCCTTTTTTCTATAAAGCCTCGCCGTCCAAACTTAAATTCAAAGAGAAGACGAAGACAGTCAGGAGAGGTAAGTTCATACTGTATCTGTTCCTCTAAGTGATTGATGCTTACATGGGTGCTTATTAATGTCATTTGTATTTGATGTTGGCTGATTGAGTTGTTTTTGTCCAAATTCTGCACTTCATTTATACCTACTGTATAAAGTAGGTATAAATGAGTCAGGGGGAGTGTTGGCCTAGTGATTAGAGCAGTGCACTTGTGTTCTGAGAAGGTAGCAAGTTCCCTATTCGATCCCTACAGTCTTCACTCTGGGTCCCTGATCAAGGTCCTTAACCCCACACTGCTCCCCGGGCGCTGCACAATGGCAGCCCACTGCTTCCCGGGAAAGGGGAGCAGTCCCCAATGGGATGGGTCGAAAGCAGAGGTGAATTTCTCCAGAGTGAAATTATTAAATTATTATTATTAAAGAAACATCAATTTTAAAATTTGCAGAAGTTTTTTTTTTTTTTGTAGCTGTGATGTTTGCAGCTGAAACCATCAAAGCTAAATGAAGCAGCTTGATGAAGCAGTCTTTAATAAAACTTTGCTCTAAACAAATTTGATGTCCATTGGTGAATAAGAATGAGTTTTTATTCTTTTGGTAGCTTTACAGTCGAGGTTATTCACTTGATGAAAAAGGAAACTAAGTCTAACATGTTCATGTTTCTACCTCTGTGTAACTTCCTGTGACATTTCATTAATCCATGAACAACGTTATAGCTGTGTCAACATACAGTTCTCTTATGTTATATTTATATCTATGCATTTGTTTTCCTTTTATGTAGATTAGAAACTTTAAATTTAATGTTTCACACAATGAAAATCACAGATTGAGCACAGGATGAGAAGAATGAGGATAGGGTTACCTATAGCTTATCAGTCATCAATGGTTTTTGGGCACATAAATCTATTTTTACAAAGTATGCTGGCAGGCACGATGTGTGTGTGTGTGCAGGTATGTGTGTGGAGAAAGGTTAAGCGAGGTTAAAAACACCATCAACTCAACTTGGCCTTGACTAATGGCTGGTTGGAGAGGGGCAGAGGGAGTGAAGAGGATAGGGAGAAAGGACAAATCCAGAGGGGAGACTGGTGTAGCATTTAGAAAACCGAAACTAGAAAACATACAGAAGCATGCAGAAGATTCTTACAGCTTTGAATAAGGCGACACAATATTCTCATAAATGTGCAAACAAGGCTTCATAAACAAAGTCAGAAAAAAACCTAAACAAAAATGTTTAGTATGGATATTCATTGGAATTAAATAAGTTAAAAATAGACCTACAGTAAAACTGGGTTAAAGGGTAATTTCTTTACTGCTTGAATAAATAGTAATTGGTAAACTGTATTTGTATTTACAGCTGGAGACTTCAGATTTTTATCTCCTTGCCAGAATTTGCAAGAGTTATGAGTTGTTCATTGTTGTAAATGTTGGTCTTCCAAAAAATACACATTGTAGTGAATTTTTTGTTTTAAACTTTTCCAATAATGCTTACACTAGGCTGTTCAGATATTTCTAAACAATAATGGGTATAAAAGCTTGCTTTTTCTAAATTTACTTTAACCTTGCATATGTAATGTCAGACATTAAAATAAAATGTTACTTATTTGAAATAAGAATTAATGACATGAGTCTTTGATGTGAATAACACTGAAATGTAAAACATTTAATATTTAGACACTGAATGGAAGGACTTACGCTTTTGGCCTCTAGGGGCATTAGACCTGTAACTTTCACGTCCAGCTCCCCTAGTGGCCACAAGCACTACAGCACTGTCACAAAAGTCAACGCAAATTTTGATTGATAGCTGTCTCTGCCCGTATTGTTCTTCTATCAAACATTGAAAATAATAAAGATATATGACTGTATACCAGGAGCAAAGTGTTAACTTACCAGGTTAATAATAAAGTTAAGAAAATAGAATTGGCTTTACATCCGGCTTCTTCTTTCAGGATGCACCAAAAAACTCCTTTCAAAGATCGACTCTTGTTTTTCTCTTTTTAGCCTCCTTAGAAGGTTAAAAGTGTTTCCTTGCCTCAGCAATGACCAGTAGTCTAACAGGAGAAAAGATGGTAGAGCAAAAGCCTTAGCTCCATGACAATATAAGAGCCTGCGCCATAAAGCGAGACGTTCCTTCAGGTCACATGACCGGGCCAATGACGGTGCGTTGTCTCCTAGCTTACATAGTTGGTATTTCCTGAGGGGAGCCCCGCTCATAGCATTGATAGTGTCAAACCCTGTATACTGGCCTCAGGAATCATTTAAAATAACTCATATGTGTCGACTCTTTAGGTCACAAACTCTGCGTTGTGCCTTTAAATCTTCCGATCTGTGGCTTTACAATTGATTTGTCTTTGTGAGGGTTGGGTAATTTAAATTAAGAATGTAAATAATTTTGTGCATTTTTTTTTTATTCATACCCCAAGAATCTACAGTTTAGAAGTATTCTGTCCCCTTTACTGAGGCACCCCTTAATGAAATCCATTTTTATATTTTGTTTCAAAGTGCTCTGTGTCCTGCTATCCCAGATTTATCTGTTGTCTTTTTAATCTAGATTGTTCAATAATGATCTTATGATTGTTTCACTTGCAAACTTTTGAAATCTTTTACAGAGCAGATAGATTTATACTGTGACTTAAATGAATCAGGGGGTTGACTTTGGAAGGCAAGTGGTTGCATTGGATTTTAGTTCAGGCTATCACTGTAAAGGTTGATAGATAATTACCCACTTCATTTTTTTTTATTGAAAAAAAAAATTATACTTTTTCCTGAAATTTCAAAAATGGGAGTTTTTGTTAATTTCTCATCTAATATAACAATGAAACACCTTATTTTTTAAATTCTTCATTGAACCCTGGTAAAAGATAATGTCTACAGTAAATGGTGTGCGTGAATAATTCTGCAAGATTTATAGTTGTTCCATATTTTTATTGCAGAAAGGTTTTTGTTCCTATTGCCTCTTTTTTCGGTCTTTAAACTTGTTGTATACTTTAATTTGAAATATATTTTTCACTTCTTCTTTCACACCTCCACCGTCCTCAGATACGCTTGACATGTCTGTTCATGTTTGTGCTCGTTCATCCCATTGTATGAGTGTATGAGTGTGAGATGGTGAAGCAAGAGCCATGATGTAGCTACATCTCAGTTCAATTTGTCCCCAACCTCAAATTGAAATTCCATTTTCAGGTGGTAAATTGTCTCCCACTTCGCCCTCTGGCACACAGTGAATTAAAATTCAAATTAGCCTGACCCTGCACCGCTGCTCTCTAGCACCTCTGTGGCTGTCTCGCTCCTTTTCTCTCACCCAATCTCTATCTAGTTCACTGTTTTGCTCTCTGCCCTCTCATCTCTCCCCCCATTATCTCCTCCTGTTGGCTCCTCTCCTCTCTTTTTATCCTTTCCTCCTTGCTTGCATGTTGTTTTCTTTTTCTCCCCAGTCAGTCACCCTTTTTTCCTGTTTACTTTTTAAGCCGTTTGCTCTTTTTTTCCATCATTTCCATTCCTTTATTCCTCTTTTATACTCTACAATTAAAGTTTGAGGCCGTGCCTTTTCTGTATGTAAATAGAAATGTCCCTGAGAGATCTAGTGAAGGTTAAATTAGATTACTTGAGCTGACCCTTTGAAAGAAAAAAATGATTACAACTGCTTTCAAATGTAGGCTTTGCTTAGTTTTTAATAATTAAATTTGATTTTTTTGTGTTATGCTATTAGGCTTTAGAAAAAAATAGTGAGAGGTTATCAGCTTTTGAACACTGAAACAGTCAAAACATCAGAACTCAATTATTTTTGTCTGCTGTGAATCTTATTCTTTCTCTTTTGTGCTCTGAGTTTAAAGGTTTGTAATTATTTTTGCTTCACTGTCAACAGGGATCAGTTGAAACTTTAGTGGAAAAATAAATGTCTAACTCGGACCATTTATTGTCTATTAAACCCATTAGAAATGTTTTTTTTTTTTCTGTTTCATTATATGAAATATTATTGATATAATTCTCTAACCAGGACATTCTTTAATGTAACTATTGTTGAATCAAAACAAAGATTTTAATCACTTGTATAATCTAGAATTGTTAATTTTCTTGTGATATTTGTTTAATCACATGATGTAAACTGATAGTTGTCTGCATGTTTCACTCCAATATGTTTTATCTTCCTCTCCTACAGCCCTACCTTTTAGTTATGCTTAACAAAGGCTCTCTGGAGGTCCTCATAAATACTGGCAGTCATACTCAGCGTCGTGTCGTCAGGCGGCCTGACCAAGGAAACCTGAATGACGGCAGGGAGCATTCCCTGCGCATAGAAAGGCTGGCTGGAAGGTAAATGCATCATTTTCCTGACAATATTTTTCAGTTTTAATCTTAATTAATGCTCCAATTTATATTTGAGTTTGTCTGGACTCTTACAGGTCCTTTGCAGTCCAGGTGGATGAGGAACCCAAGAGAGAAGCAGGGCTTCCAAACGACCAGCCAATGAGGCTGCGGCACATTTTCCTTGGTGGTATTCCACCAGAGGTGGAGCGGACATCTAACAGAGTCAACATCCCATTCAAAGGATGCATATGGAACCTTATGGTTAATTCAATGTACGTAGTTTTATTTTTTGTTTTTGTAATGTTGTCAAAATTTTTAAAAAGTGGAAGATGTCCTGCAAGTTCCATAGGACTTGATGGTTTAGAAAAAAACAGCTCTTGATAGCTATGTTTTAATCAGAGTCAGATTACTTTTGCATTGAAAACACATCACTCTAGAGGTCATAAAGAATTCTACCTAGAATCAATTTCTTTGAATGGTCTGGGTACTTTTGCCAAGTTTGCAACCAAACAAAGGAACCTCACCTTAAGGAGGCTTAACAAAGTCAGTTTATTTGAACAGACTGAACTCCTAAGTTATGCAAATGCCTTTGCTTAAACTCACTACAAAATCAACTGGCAATTTTGTGGAAATTGTTGGTTGGAAGGAATGCCTTGGAGTCTTTAGTTGTTCCATGTGTATCTGTCTTGCTGATGGGAGACTCAAATGTGTGGCTTAAGATCCTGTAGGTTTGTTGAGTTGGTTTGGGGATGCAGATGCTTTGGTAGGCATTTCTCTCTCTCTCAACCTCTTAGGCTACGTTCACGCAGCAGCCTGAAGTGAACCAAATCCCATTTTTTTGCCCATATAAGAACTGTATCTGATCTTCTCATGACAATATAAACAACACAGATATGATTTTTTCCAGCGTAACCTAGGTCACTTGGCTATGTGGTCCTGAATCCGATACATATCTGATCTTTTTAAATGTGGCGTGTGTGTGAACAGTAGGGGTGAGTATTGGCATGGGTGTTGCTATACAATAAATTTCAGGATACTTGGGTCACGATACGATATTATCACAATATTGCAATATCACTATATATTGCGATATTTTACCCAGCTATCAAAATAAAAAGTAAGTGCTGTATATGTTCATCAGAATACATGTTGTTTGGGGTTTGAGTCAGTTCACGTCTTCCACTGTTAATGCTTCAGCTACAGAGATGGTGATGTGCTGTACAGTAAAAAGGCTCCATAGCGCCATCTATCAGAGTGGTGGTGCAGAGGTAGTCCATTTTCCCCTCATTGATTTAGGTAAAAAAGTTTTTTAAATTGATATTAGGAAATGATGGATATTAGATTGGGCAGCAGAATATCACAATATATCACCAAATGGATTTCTTTCCACACCCCTAGTGAAAAGCCAAGTCACATTCATCCGACCTAAACAATATATCAATAATACTCAACAAAGGTCCCTATTATGCATCTTTTTACGCCAGGGGTCTGCAACCTTTCATATCCAAAGGTCCGTTTGGCCCAGAGTACGACCAAATAAAAGTTGTGTAGAGCCGCAAAATATACCATGACTTTTTTCTAGAAAACCCTTTTTTGTTTAAATCTTGAATAAGAAATTAGTTGTTGCCATCTCAATTAATCAATTCATACATTCTTAATGTTAAAATGTATAATTTTCAAGCTAATTCATAGTAAAATGTCTCTTAAAACATATTTCTGGTTCTTTTAATCTCATTCTTTTCCATCTTATAAAAAACGCTAAAGCTATTGATACCGGTATATATTATAGTAAATTATTTAGCTCTTTATATACATTTTAGCCACTACTAAGAGCCGCTGGAGAGGGTCCAAAGAGCCATATGTGTCTCCGGAGCCACAGGTTGCAGAAGTTGCAGAAGCGGGAAGAAAAACATCAACCATGGCAGACAATAATGCTGAGAGTATTATATTTAACCATCTTGAAAAGATTGTGTTTTTAAGGTTGGGAAAGACCTGGCTAGGCCTTCTTCGCTAGGGGTGGAGTGTGGCTGGTCAGGGGGGCTTATTTTGGTCTTTGTGCTTTAATACCGAACTAAATCTGGATTTCATAAAGTCTGTCACTCAATGAGGAGGCTGTCCTTTTATTATTGTTTTATTTTTCTTAGCATGCCTTCCTTGGGTTCCCACAGGCAATCATCTATGTGATATCTGCCTAAAACACTTATTCAAGACGTTAAAAAAATAACAATAATTACTAAATCATAGGATAATGAATGATTGGAGGAGATCACAAACTGTATTGCTGCTGCTGTTGATGCAAGCTGTTGTCTTTTATTCCTGAGCAGGTTAAAAATATTCTGCTATCCAAAACGTTATTATTACTTAAATTACACCCAGCTGTGTATTTTATTTGTTTTGTCTAAAAGTGTCATACAAAAAGTATCACAGTAGCAATATCCTCGACCCCCTAAAATATGTAAACATGATTGTTTAAAGTAGTTTAAGCTTTCGATAGTTTTTGTGTTTGTAAATTAGGTTCAGTTAAGCCAAAATAATTGTATTTCATCCAAAAACATCGTCTCTGATAGGAAATACGACTGGCTTTTCTCAAAAGAAAAGCAAAAATCATTACATGGTTCTCAAAAAACGGTGTATAAATGTTGATTGGCATTCCAGCAGTCAAACCCTTCTTATGAATTTGGTAAAGATAGTTTCCTTTTCTATTTAAGTTGGTTCTCCTTGGTGAAGAACTTGAATTTATTGATTATAGAAGATCTATTTGCCAGAACCCAGATCTTTACTTCTTTACACTGATTGAATTTTGGAATCTGGCTGGGCCACACAAAAACATTTATTTTGCTTCCAGTCAGGAAAAAAAAAACACATGTTGGTAAAATATTTTATCAGGTAAATCTGTAAGGGCTCATTTAATTGTTTTTTTTTTTTGTTTTTTTTTACTTGTCTTTTTCTCCATGCTTCTCTCCAGAATATACACAGATCTTTACTGCAGGTATCGGTTCTGCACAGGGATGCTCTGTAACACTTTAAACAGTTACCTCAGCCATATGGTTTGGAAGGAAGCTTGTGTGCATCCAAGGAAGACTTATTTTTTAACAGGTTTCAGTGCACAGGCACGATAAATCTAATCAGTGCCCACCCCCCACCCCCCGTGAGTGCAGTAAAAATCATGAATATAAAACTCATTATCTGTGTGTTTTTTGCTGATCACTCTAAAGCTTATCACACTGAAGCTCGGAGCATTGAAGTTGGTTTTTAAATATCATCCTTTGAATAACTGCAAATCCAGAATAGTTATTCAGATTTTTTCCATTACTGCTCCCTTCTTATCTCTAAATATGGCCGAGAGCCACGTAGTAATTTGGAGGTGTGAGTCTTTCCCTATAAAAAGGAGCCTTACTTCAGCAGGGGTTTCAGTATATATTGATCTTTGTAATCAAGCCAAAATTATTACAGATATTTTTGGTTTGATCTATAAATGTTACCAACAAACACTTTGGTTATAAGCTCCCCATATTTTATGTTGGAAGGCCTAGAAACATTTTCAACCCAGGGATAGGGAGCCACTCCTGAGCCATGACTTAAAATCATAAGCAAAGACAAATTACCAAAATACCATGCTGAAAGAATTTATACAAAGAGTTGAATCTCTGTATTACCAATTAAGATTCTCAGAAGTGCTTATTTAGAATATTGTAGTTTTTAAATTGTAATATTTTACATACATTTATAAACATTTATGACTTTTTACCTCTTTTACAAATAATGTTACGAGAAAAGGGTCTCATGTCCAGTCAAGAGTTCTTCACTAAATAGAATATTAAAGAAGTAAAATCTGCCAGAAGCATAAGTAGTTTGGGGCTTCAGTGTATATGCAAGGGTTCTGATCACACTACTGTATTTATCAGTGTGAAGATCATGCATTGTTTATCTTAGCTGCTCATGAACACCTGGTTTAATTAGCTGTTGTCAAAGTGCTTCCAGCAAGTTGTTGGAGTGATGAGGAGGATGCATTGGCATAAGAATAGCGTGGACCCTAACCTGACTCCGCCAGATGGATTTGCTCCGCATATCCATCTGGAAACCTTCCGTAGAAGTAATTTTGGGAAGGGGCGAAAATACTGGTTAGCTGATTGGCCTATGTTGGTGATAGACGGGTAAAATAAACCAATCAGACCAACAAAGCATATGACGTAACAGAGCGACGAAGAAGAGGATCCAATTGATAAATCAAACTCTTGCCGAAACCAGTCGGGAGAAGAGCAAAAACATCTTTTACTCTGAGAAAAGCCTCCAGAGCAGTGTTTTGCTCTTCTTTCGGTTCGATAAAACTTGCTCGATAGCCACGCTAACGCTAATTTCATCGGCTGAAGCCGCCATGTTCTTTAGACTGAAATGTTGCGCTTCTCGTTGCGTCACACCTCAACCCGACTCAAAGCCAACGCTGATTGGACGTTCGATTGGTGAACGGCTCCAAATTTTCTTCAACGGAGAGTCTCCAGACTGATTAGCGAGTGAAATTTTGAAAGCTCACGAGATCAGGATGGTCTCACGAGGCTACGTGGACCCTGCATCCAGAGCCAAAAGTTCTGCCTCTGTGGTTAATAGCCCATTATAGTTTAAAACAAAAGAATTAAAAACAGAAACTAAAATTCTATCACACATAATGTGGAGCAAACTGTGATGTTCAGATTAAAGTTCCTGAAAATATTAACTACCTTTGGTGACTACATAAATGCCTTTGATGAATCATTCAAGCTTTGAAACACCAATAGGTTGAAAAGGATGCCAATAACATTAAAAATGATAAAAGAGAGTTGTACCCTAACATGCTACTGTACACTCCTAACAACAAGTAAACAAGTGGGATTCTTCTAATTTCATACTTAAAACATCAATCTGACAATTAGACTAATTATACAAATAGATAGGATAAAGGAATGTTGACAATTGTTTCTAAATTATCATTTTTATATAAATGTATGGCGTATTGAAATAAAAAAAAACAAATAATGAGAACAATTTTTAATATATATTAAATGAATTTAAAAATGCCCACCAAGAATTACTATAAATCCAAGAAACAATGTATTGTTGAACTGTAAAATGCTTCTTGTGTTAAGAAAATAATCTAAAGTCTGAGTGTCTTATCCTGTTATGTTGCTTCTCTCGGTTCATCTTACTATGTAGTCATCCTTTTAATTGCATGTCTATGTTTCAGTCTCTCAGATTTCTCTCAGCCTGTTTCCTTTGAAAATGCCGAAATTGGTCAGTGTCCAAACCTCGCTCCTCCACCACCTCCCCCTCCTCTACCAGAAGAAGAGAAAACGGAGGAAAAGAAAATGGATTTAAAACCACTCCATCCTACAGTCCCCCCAGCTCCTGGAACACCACCTCCTAGTGGTCCAGAGGTAAGTGGGAATATTCACACAGTTGGACTAGTAGCCACTGGCAGAAATTTTACTATACATGCAGAATAGACACTTGAGGAGATAACTTCAGTTTATCAATGACGATTTTCCACGTTTAAGACTAGCACATTTATAATTGCAGCATTTAAATACTTTATGACCATAAAATATTTTTATTTACTCGTGTCATTTGAAAAATAATTTATGCTTATTTGAAGGAATGAACAGATGCCGAGTCCCATTATATTATTTACTTTTCACTGTTAGAGGTGTAACTCAAACACAAACATGATCCTATTTCTTTCTGATGAAACACACCCATGGCAAACTGTGCTTCCCTGGAGATTTATCACACAGCACTTGTACAGCCCATTAACTCTTCTTTATGGTCGTTTTAGCCTTGAGTCACTAAACTCCACCTTTGGCAGCTTGTCAGGCGGTGCAGAGCCATAGTATTACGCTAGGCTAACTGTGCATGTCATTTATATTTTATGAGCGCACAGGAGCCAAACACTCTGCACTAACGTTTAGCAGCTATGCTAAGAACCTGGCAGCCAGTGAGCTATTCAATACAAACTCTTTGAATTGGGGAAGACAAGAGCTCTTTAATAAATATCTTGCATTAGCCGCAGGTTATCTGATACTCACTTTGCTGCTAAACTACACCTCTTAAAGGACATTGATCATGTAGCCAAGAGCCAAAGAACTGTGCCACCTCAGCTATAACTCAGTGGTTTGTTCCTTTATGGGCTGCATGTTGCTTTTATGATATAGACTGCAGAATGTGAGAAGGCATAGTTTGTAAGACTTTAGTGACTGGAATGTATGGTTTTATTGCTGCGTAAATGGAAAGTATTTTTGTTGCACTTTTAGTCATATCAACCACTCAGAGCACTTTACACTAGAGCCACATGTATCCATTCACAATCAGAAATTTGCACACATTTATTCAGTGATCAATAGGGAAACGTCAACATGTAGCAGGAGAAGGCTGGACTTGCACCCAAACCTTTTGGATTGCTAGACAACTGGTCTTCCTGTTGAGCCAAAATGGTGTCCGGTATGAAACACATCAAACTGTTCTTTGTGTTGATTTTTTTTTTTTTTTATCTTTGGCACTCTTTTTATTCACAATATCAATTTATATCAGCAGTATTAGCTGTGCAGTCATTTCTAAAGACTCCCTTAAAGGATACTTTCTAAACTCAAAGATCCCAGGAATGATCATAACCAATCATCAGAAGGTGTTGCTTTTAATCATGACACATGTTTATCAAATATCCAGCATAATAAATCCGTCATATGTGATAATATTGAAAGGTCAACTTAACCTAACTGCAGAATGTTTTTGTTTTGAGGCAATAACACAAAAAATCATTTTAACTACATTAATCTCAAAGTCATTCCAAAGATAAAGGAGTGAATTTCTATTATTATTTTGAAGGCTCTTTTGAAGACTAATGTCATTCTGTTTCCAGTCTGGTTCTAATAATGTGCATTTTTATTGACATCCTTTTTAACAAACAACTCCTGCAGCCCCCAGCTTTGTTTGCAGTGTTTTATACTGTGGATCACAGTACTCTAGTCTTGAAACCAACACACTGGGTTTGTAATAAGAGTGCAGTTAATGCTTTATCATTTCTTTCCAACCCAGCCCCTCTTCTTGTAGGATGCTCTGGGGTCATATCTTGGTCCTCCCCCTTTCTTTTCTATAACTGCCCGCTTTAAGCTCTTTTCTCAAGCCCTGCATACACTGTGCGATTTTTGAGACGATTTTCCTGTCATGCAACAAGTTTAAGGATAGGGCTGACTCAGCCAAATTGTGCTCAGTGTAGTTTACAAAGGGGTCAGGAGCTCCTGATCAGAAATCGTGGGTCGCAAGAAAATCAAACTGGTTAAATATTTTGTCGTGCCTCATGAGTGAATTACATGTTGAAGCGACAAAGTCCCCGGATGTTGTTCTCGCCCCTCCCTCTTCACCAAGCAGGCATTAGAGCAGACTTGTGCATTCTTCAGACTGACAGCTGTCCCAGCATGCACTGTGGCAGAGTACAACTTAAAAGTTCTGCTGCTATTGGTCTACAAAAGTACGTTTTAAGATAATTTGAAGTGAGAAAAGTATAATTTTTAGCTTTACTTTATGGCCCTTTTACTGATTTAGTATGTAATTTAAAAAAAATGTCCAATGTTGAAATGACCATGGTAACCAGCAGACCTCCAAGGCTAACCACAGCCAGATTGTGTGTGAAGTACCGACCGCTCCCTCCGCAGGCAGTTTTTTTTTGTTTCTTATTTGGCAAAATCTTCATCTGATTTCCATTTATCTGACTGATTATGACTGTTTATTTGCAAAATACTTGCTGGAATACCATAAAATGATAACATTTAAATAAGGTATTGTATATTCAATACAAGTGCAGATAGTTGCACAGTTTAATGATTATTACCATACTAAAAAAATTGAAAAAAATTATTTTTAATATGACGTAAAATGCATATCCAGATGAGCCGTGGGTTCACTTTTGTTCCAATTCACACAGATTTGTTCTGCGTGCTCCCGTTCTCTCACAGTACTTACTTCCTGTGTTCTTGCCAATATGTGACTTGGAGACAAGAGGAGTCCATATTTGCATTCTTATGAATTGAGAATCAGCCGGAAGTAAACCTTTATCTATTACAAACTACCTCTATTTATTGCGTTGCATGTTGGGATTGTTCAGGACTCATACCTGTCACTGAGGATGTGAGCAGTCCGAGCGTCGGTGTGTATTCTGAGATCATTCATAGCCACTTGTTAACCTTTGAACTATGCAGATGGTTCGCACAATTTTAGTTGGGGCTGCAAGCAACGATTAAAAATATTGCACAGTGTGTCCCGGGCTTTACAAAACATGGTATCTCCTTTCACTGCTAAGCAGACACCTGCCTGATTCACCTGCCTCTAATTCATTATATCTATTGCTCCATCCACCATGTGTTACATTTCTTTATTGACTGATATATTTTTTGTTTCTATAACAGGAAAATAGAGGTTACGGTTTTGCATTTTTTTCAGCCACAATGATCACTCAGCCAACTCTGTTAATTGTTCGCTTCAGGTCACACCTCAAATAACATTTATACAAAGCTGGGGGTAATTATAAATTCACAATTTTCATTTAATAAACAAATATCCACTTTTTTTTTGCTGAATATTATTCAGTAATGGCCAATTTTATACCTAAGACACCTTTTTGACTCCACTGCACAGTTGCAGATGTATCCTTTAACATAATTAAGATAAAAAGAAGCTTTTTGTGCTATGTGAAATTCTGATAAACCAATTTTTTCACGTTGTTACAGAGATTTTTACAGTTTCCTTCAGTCAGTCAATTGACCTGTGGGTTATTTTAGTTAAAAATGTGCTTATTATATTGGAATTAATTATTTCTTCCTCCATTTAGCAATAAGCTTTTTGGCATTTCCTAATGACATTGCTTCCATTTGCTGTTTGTGCTTTTCTGCTTCTACTCTGTGGCTTTCATTAAACTCTTTCTATTCTTACACGGCTAACCTGCAGGAGGCCACACCCCCTGTCCCAGCTGCTGCCACACCCATCTCGCCTGCTGCTGTAGCAACACCCACTGCTAATCTGGATCCCATTATAGACCCGGTATACACTCACTCACAAACTAATGCATACTTCTCTTAATCTATATTAATAGTATATTTGGCAACATTTTTATAAAAACAGCTTCAACCATAAATCCATCTCAAAGGTTTTCTCTCCCTTTTTGGATCTCCGCCCCTTTTTAAAGCCGATATAGGTGTATGTGTATATGTTGAATGGAACAAAAATTTAACAGGCTTGGGTTAAAATAACTAGAAAAATACAGTTTCAATGCCTTTTTTTTAAAAGAAATTTAACATGCTGGTTATTATTGCACAGTCACTCCACATTTAATAAAAATATTGATATTACGCCCAAAGTGATGTATGCACTTGGTAGATTTACAGTATGTTTACAGAAATCCATTAAAATTTAGGTTCTGTATTTTCCTGTCTGTACCTCTATAGCATTAGGGATACTTCCCTAATTCTACAAAGGATAATCGGAAGAAATTGATTGGAAAATATTTAATGTAATTTAAGAGTAAGGCACTATTTCCTTGCAAACATAAAAGAAAAGATTATAAATTATCTTTAAAAAATGATTAAAAAAATGTTCTTGTCTGTAGTTTAAATGAAAATATATATCAATTAAAATCTGCTAAGAGTATGAACACTTTTGGGCTTAACTGTATATAGGGCTGATTTGACGGCTGTACAATTGACACCACTACCTCGCAGCAATAAAGTCAGCAGTTTAAAACCCAATTGTGACTTTTTCCCTGTGTCTGGCCTTTAAGCACCATAAAAAATTAATGTTACTTAGGCACTCTGAACTGTCCCTGGTTGTTTGTCTGCTCCATGTGTGTACCCTGAACATTAGCCATTAAATAAAACCATCTGGCAAACTTGCAAAGATTATTTAGGTTTGGATAGATTTTAGATCAGTGATTCTCAAACCTGCACCTCAAGTACCATTCACCTTGATGCTTTAGACATCTCTCTGTTGGAGCATTTTGATTCAAATCATTGCATGATCTTAGAAGCGTCCAGATGGCTCCTCAATACAGTACCAACCTCATTCAGATTTACTCTCCTGCACATGCTCTGAGGTCTGAGGGCCATCTTCAGCTAATAATTCCTAAGACAAGGCTTAAAACCAGAGGGGACAGAGCCTTTTCTGTAGTTGGCCCAAGACTTTGGAATACTTTGCCCCTCTATATATACGAAGAGCCTCCACAGTGGAGTGTTTTAAGCCTCGTCTTAAGACCAACTTTTACTATTAGGCTTTTAAGACAGCGTAATCTTGTCGTCCTCTGTGTACTATTTATTTGTTTTAGACTCTTACTGCATTTTTGTGTGGCTTGTGGTGTTTTGTTCGTTTTCATGTATACTGTAGCACTTTGAAAACATTTTTTGTTGTTAAATGTGGTACCAGTGAAGAAAATAAGTATTTGAACACCCTGCTAATTTGCAAGTTCTTTCACTTAGAAATCATGGAGGGGTCTGGAATTGTCATCGTAGGTGCACGTCCACTGTCAGACAGAATCAGAAAAAGAATATCCAGAAATCATGTGTGATTTTTTTTTTTTACAATTTATTTTTATCATACAGCAGCAAATAAGTATTTGAAAACCTGAGAAAGTCTATGTTAATATTCGGTACAGTAGCTAGAGGTCAGACATTTTCTGTCGTTTTTCACCAGGTTTGCACACATTGTAGTAGAGATTTTGGCCCACTGCTCCACGCAGATCTTCTCTAGATCAGTCAGGTTGCTGGGCTGTCGCTGAGAAACACGGAGTTTGAGAGCCATCCAAAGATTCTCTATTGGAAATAGGTCTGGAGACTGGCTAGGCCACATCAGAACTTTGATATGCTTCTTCCAGAGCCACTCCTTGGTTATCCTGGCTGTGTTCTCCGAGTCATTGTCGTTTTGGGAGACCCAGCCTCCACACATTTTCAATGCTCTAAATGAGGGGAGGAGGTTGTTCCCCAAAATCTCGCAATACATGGCCCCGGTCATTCATTCTTTATTAGTGCAGTCACTCTGTCCCATGTGCAGAAAAGACCCCCCAAAGCATGATGCTACCAACCCCATGTTTCACAGTAGGGATGGTGTCATCATTCTTCTTCCTCCAAACACAGTTAATTTAAAGGTTCTATTTTGGTCTCATATGACTCCCATTTCTAAGTCGGAGATAGTAGGGTGTTCAAATACTTATTTTCCTCACTGCAAATAAAGGCATCGGTACTAAAGGACCAGGATCGAGAACCACTGATATAGATGTTTTTTTGTTTTTGATTTTCAAAGGATGGGAAGTACATAAAGACTAGAGAGCAACCTTTAGGGTTTTTCCCTTAAGGATGACACTTATTTTAGAATCAGTCTTATCGATCCCCAATGTCCTGCCATTTATTTGTGTTGAAGCCCACATTGCTTTTCCTTCCTCTGTTTTCATGAGAAAAGTGACACACTGATAACTAATGTTATACAATTCTCAATTTCAAACAAGCTCTATAACCAAATTTAATCAAAACATTAACAATGGATAGCAAATGGGAGGAGAACCAATGTTTGCTTTTTCAAAAGGCATGTCTGCTGAATAGCCATTCAGGTTATATAAATGTACTTATTTATCCTAAATTGTAAATTTCTGGATATCAATGATATTTATAAAATTCTAAAGAAAAACATTTAAACTCTTTGCAGAGTATGTAGATGCTCAATAATTTCCTCCAAGTCCTGCTGTCCTGTGTTGGAAGGTCTTCTACATGCTTATGTGCATACACGCACTTCTGATTAAATGTTTTCTGATTCTATTGGTGTGACCTCCAATGACAGGGCTGAATAGAAAAGCTGCATTTCTATTGTTAGCTTAATGGAAAGATGCAGAATGGACAAGAAGGAAGGATGAAAGAGGATAGAAGGAAGAAGACAGAGTAGACAAAAAAGGTACAGCCTTGGAGGAAATGGTAAAAAGAGGGAGAGTCTTTCTGAACAGAACGTTGCTGGTCTTTTGTTGGCTTAATGGAAAGACGGAGGACTAGAGCTCAGAAAGAATCGAAGGAGAAGGATTTCTGAAAAAGTGACGTCTCCTTTTTGTTAGACGGGGAACATAAGAAAGCAAAATGAAAAGGGGGTTGAGGAGGAGGAGCAGCAAATATGAGGACAGAATGAGATAAGAGGTGAGAGTCATCTGTAACAAAGCAAGGTCACAAGCAGGGGATGTCTTTACCTGAAAAAGAACAAGAGGGTCGGCCACTGAGACATATACTCTTTAATTCTATTTTATGTTTCTCTCATACATCCAAAGGAAGAAAGACAATTAGCTGCATCTTTTAATAATATAGTTATTACATGCAGTGTCTCCCCAAATCATTCAAAATTCTTCACAACCATGAAGTTAAATGTAATTTTAGCAGCATAAATAGGTGCATAATATTGAACACAAAACAAACTGATAATGGTTTCATAATGTTTATACAAATTGCATGTGGTGTAGATTTTTATTTGGTAAAATTTACTCTAACCTTTAAATAAAATCATTTGCAACCAAATGATTTCAGATAATAACAGTCTGTGTATCATCCAATCTGTGTAAAGACTGTTTTTCTAAGGAGAACTCCAGGGTTTATTTGAGAGAAATGGCATCATTGGCTATAAGGAGCACATCAGATATTTTAGGAGTTTATTAGTGAAAAGGATTACAGGAGGTTTAAGATGTAAATCCACATCCCAAGCTTTGAATATCCAAAAGATTGATATACAGCACCTGAACATGAAAAGTAAAGGATGCATTGCAAACTTCACAAGATGAATTCATCCATTTCAGTTTTTAAGTATGGAGCAAAGCATTCATCAGAAAAGTAGGATATGGGTTAATTGTTGGCCTGTTTACAGAAAACCTTTTTCTTGTACACTCCAAAACTTTCTCACTTCATGTACAAATGGCAAGAAGAAAGCCATTATTGAAAGTAACAAGAGAGGAACGATTAAACAAAGCTGTAAAACACTATGGGGCACAATATTTAAAGCTGCAATGTGAAATTTTTAGCAACACGTATTGGTCAAACTGCAGCAACCCAAACCGCCCCCGCATCTTCACATGTCAGCATCAACTTTGTCAATTGATGACGAGGAATGTTTACATTAGAGATGCACAGATCAGGACGATGGTCCTCCTCATGGTCGGCCACAGCCGCAAACTAATCAGATCCATTAATGTGCTCCTCCTGAGTCACTACTGTGGTTCCTTAGAGGTACCAGTGGAAGGCAGAGGTGGTCGTTTCTTCCCGGTTATGGAGCTCTTTCCTCCGCTGCAGCTGTCTGAGCTCCAGAACGTTGCTCACCTCATCTCTGTCTTCTCCTTTTCTGGGCACTCTAACCAAAACAAACTTAGACCAAGTGCAGGAGAAAGTAAAGTAGTTTACATAAATAATTATATAAATAATATTGTATTAGTTTGCAGGATATAGATTTTATAGATCCCTACAGTCATTCATCTCTGAGCTCTACCACCATACAAAGATGACCTAATCCTACGTAATTAAAAGTAACTTCTATGGCAGCACAACCATAAAGCTTGAGTTTCTGCTGCAATCAAATCAGTGACTAAGATCTGTGTCAAATCTTTAAAATATGTGTCGAAAGATTCTCTTCATACAGTCTGAGCATAAACTATTTTGTAAAGAAGACTTGGTAAAAATTTCAGTCCTTAGATGTGTAAAGTTTTGTTGAAAAAATATCCTCAAAAGACTTCAAGTGGTAGTAGTAGCAACTTATTGAGTCAGACTGAATTAGTATGCATATAACATTGCTTTGATAAAGGTTAATTAAATATAAGGTATGTGTTTGCTCAAAGAAATTGAGAAAGTTTATATGGTTAAAGAAAAAGGTGCTCTAGAACCAAGGCAAAACTAGTTTAGTATATTGTAGAGAAAGCTGTTGGTACTTAAGAGGTTTTGGAATGGGACGCAGGCTGGGGGAAGGAAAGAAAAAAGATGGCAGATACAAAAAGAGAACATTTCTGTCGATTACAAAGATAAGGAAATTTGAAAGCAGGAACATAGAAATGCTTAACAGCCACAGAGGAGAGGTTAGAAATTCTTCAAAAGAGATTCTTTTTTTTGTTAAAAGTGGGGACAGATCCAGATAAAACTACTTAAAAGCAGAAAGTTTAAACAAGGAGACAGAATTTAAAAAGAAGTACAAGGCAGGAAGATGGTTAGAAAGTTACAGCAATGACACCTTGTGGTCAAAAGCAGAGCTGCAATTTGGGATAACTAAAAGAGAATATTAATTCAAGAAAACTGCTGAACAAACACCATTGGGAAAACATAGTTAATTTTAAAATATAAGTAATTTTGTTCATGAAATAATGAAAAATGTGTAGAACTTGTCAAAAAGCTTAAGGTACCAAATAACAAAAAGTAAGTTGTTAAAACAATACAATTACTGTCACTATCCAGGTTAATTGTACTATATGATGGTCAGGATGGTAAATTTAATATTTTTGTGTGCATTCATCCTAAGCAGTTCTAGCTGACAGTCAATCTAAAATATTAACTGTATAAAAAGCTGTTTTATAACTAATGTTGACCCACAAATGCTTCTGTTACTTCCATTTCAGAAGTAGGGACCCAATTAGTGTGATTGGCAAGTGTTGAACCCAGGTGTTAAGGCTCCTGTTGACAGGAGGAAATGGGTGCAGTGTTGTGAGACCCTGTCAGTGGAGCTGACATGTTATGTCCAATCTCCAGGACTCGTGTGCATCAGCTGTGGCCCCGACATCACTCGAAAAGGCATATCAGTTTGGACTGACCAGGAATAGTCACATGAGCTTCGCCTTTGATGACACTAAAGTCAGAGAGAGGTAAGTTTTGAAGTTAATCATCATTTTCTGGGTATTTTTGTTTTCTTTTTTCACATGCATGAATTTCTTTTTTAACAAACGTTCACATCTAACAGGACAAGAAGCAACATTGCTTGTTCTGAGGGTATTAACTCTCAGAACATGCAAGAAATGGTTAAATTGCCCCACAGCTATCTACTTGTCAAATGTTGCATGTAAAAAATGCAAACCCAGTGAGAGATGATTTTGACTGGATAAGATTCCTATAAACACATAAAAATGGTCAGTGGTCTGAAATCTTGAAGAAATAAACAAGTTGACTAATCATAAATGTAGTCCCTTTATGCGTGTGCATTTATGGTGGAAACCTGCAAGGTTTAGAGCCACTCTCTAGACACAAAGCAAACGTTTGTTTTGTTTTATCTGAGAAAGGAGAAATTGCATCTATTTTAGTGTCTGACTTGTTGCTTTTTGTTTTGCGAATGTTCAACCTTCCTGTCCTTAGCACTGACACTGTCCTACAAAAGTATTCATTCCCTTAAGATTTTCATTTTGTCTTATTACAACCACAACATTCATTGTATTGCAGTGGCATTTTATGTGATAACCAAAAGAATAGTAAAAAAGAAAAATCCTGGACTTTAAATCAGTGCCCAGTCAAAAAGAATATTTAATTTCCAAGAAATATATTGGTATTTACTGTATTCGTTATGTTACAGTACTGGCTGCAGTTATTACACTTTTAAGTCATTTTAAATATATATATATATATATATATATATTACCTTAACAGCGGACTTAGGCCAAAAAATAAGAACAAATCCTTTTTTTATATCTTTGCTGTGGTCATTTTGAAATTGATAATGGGCAAAATGATGACATACTTTGTTGTTACAGTAATATAGAAGGAATATACTATTATCCAAAAATGTCCTCAAGTCCAAAAGAGCCAGTGGTGTGCATGTTTTGGATGTATGAGTCAGGAAACTATTAATCTTGAAGAAAAATTTGATAAGACTGACTCATTCCTTGTAAGAAATAAATTCTACAGAGCTGAATTCATCGCTGTATAACCTCCTAAGAGTAGCATCATATTCTGCAGAGGCATGGTAATGAGCTATTAATTATATTCAAGTGCACTGAACTAGGTAGAGATTTAAGAAATTTAGAAAGAAAGCACAGTGTAATGGATACTGGAGCTTCACTGGGGAAACATGCAGCTGATTTCATCAAATGTTTCTTATTTTTAAATCTAAAACTTGACAGGAATGGCTCCATCTAATGCTACATTCAAAACAATACAATCTATGGAAATCCTTAAAAACAGCATTTTTCGTGCCCAATATCTAAGAAGTGGTGTAAGCTCCAAGGGATGAAAATAAAACCAAATAAAAGTAAGGCACAAAAAGCAGTAGACATAATGTCCCATCATCTCTCTAATCTGTCAGATCAACACATTCTAATCCTCCACAATCTGGTAAAATCCCAACAACTAACCCTTCTTCGCCATTCAAAATGAGATCATATTGAAATCATTAAATGTGTGCAAGTAAAATCTTACCCAAATACACAAAAAGCATTTTGGATAGATTTTATTGTGAACGCTGAAGAGTAAATGGATTCAAACGAAAATGTCTGCTTGTATGCTTTGTCTTAGGCTGCTGTTGGAGTTTGAGCTGAGGACAAAAGAGCTTTCTGGCCTTGTGCTCTATATGGCGAGAATAAACCACGCAGACTTTGTTTCCATCCAGGTATAGTTCTTTGGTTCAGACACAGTCAATCAGACCAAGAGTTTATATTGTTGAAGTCAATAGGATATTAGAGTTCTAAGCACTCAGAAAAAATACCATCATTAGACAATGCAGAAGACTTGAAGACAAAAAAGCTGCAGTATATTGTACAGAGTTCTTCACATGTTTACTATTATTTATCTCCGCTTGTAGATCAAGGAGGGACAAGCTTGTCTTGGTTACGATCTTGGTCATGGAAACATCTCTGGTTGCGTTCCCTTCTCCATAAATGATGGTAACTGGCACAATGTAAGTCTCTCTATGCTTTATTTATTTATATATATATTTATTATGTGTGTATTCTGGTAAAAACATTTATATCTTATTACATATGCAAAAAAAAAATAAATAAATAAAAAATAAAGTATTTTTGATAAATATCAGAAAAGTTGTGAAAATCAAACCTGGAGTGATGAGTCTGTCAAATCAAGAAGCAATATACACGATACCTTGGGTAACCTTGACAGCCTACTGGTTAGGGCATTGTGCTTGGAATCCAGAGGTTCTGAAGTTGACTCCTCCCTCACACTGCCACTCTGGGTCCCTGAGCAAAGACCCTTATCCCCCCACTGCTCCCCTGGCGCCGCACAATGGCAGCCAAAGGGAAATGTTAAATGTAGAGTGCATTTCATTGCTTTGTACTTGTGACAGTGTAATTAGAATAAAGTTGAATTCCATTCCAATTCCATTCCATGAAGAAAAGAATCTATTTGTGTTTACATTTAGAGCCCTATCTTGAAAAAGTTTGTGCATTTTATAATCCAGGCAAAATTACCGTATTTTCCAGACTATAAGCTCTACTCTTTTACTACTCTTTTGAACCATGTTGCTTATAAGAAGGAGTGGCTTTTCTGTGGATTTTTCCTAACAGAGTAGCAGAACAACATGCTAGCAGCAGGTACGATTGAGAACAAATGTCCCAAATTCACACATTTTGACATTTGCCTCATTAAAGCTGCCCAACCAATGGAGTGACTGGGCTTAACGCCTGCAGAGCTGAAATAAAGAGTTGGCGAAGCCCCATTTTTCAGTTGAACCTCTTACTGCTGCGAGCCAACAAGCATTCTTCTTTGTCTCGACTTCAGGGGCTATATGTAAAGCTCACCCTACAGGTTTGGTGGGAGACAGTTCAGTAGATATCAGCAGCCTATAGCCTGGTGGGGCTTATATATGTACGTTTCTATTTTTTTCAAAAAATGTAGTGAGGGCGGCTTATAGTAAGGCGTTCTCTATAGTCTGGAAAATATGGCATTTTCATTCACAGAGCAGATTTTGATACAATTTGTGTGTGCAGTTCTGCTGTCAGAGCAAATGTTGTGTGTGTGTGTGTGTGTGCAGTTCAATTTCAAATAACTGCATATTTATGGTTAGAGAAGGTTAATGCATAAGTATATGTATAATTATGATTGAAAAAATGAAGAGTTCCTTCTACATTTTGATGCATTCCCATTAATATATGTACAATAACTCTATGCTCTCGTTGGTCGTACTAAGTTTTTTGAATGCATCTTTGCACCTTAAAGGTTTTATTTTCTAAAAAGTACAAACTGTGGAGAACACTATTATATTGCTGCTTAAAATTTGTTCCTTTTGCATTTTCACTAAACTTTTTTGCTTTTTGGTTTAATATGCTTGATGCTTTTTCTCTTGTTTGGTTAGATCCGTGTGACACGTACCAAGCAGAGAGCTGTGCTGGCAGTTGAGCGTAAATATACAAAACAGTTGTTTAGTCCAAAGACGGTAAGCACTGCCTTTCACTAATCAAGCTTTGATATTGAGGCAGACTTAAGTGCCTTTATTAAAGAACTTTGAACCTTTTGTTTTGTCTAAATGTATTTTATGTTTTTTTTTTTTTTTTTTTTACTGTTTTTTCTAAACCAGGCGGACCTTTTAGATGTGGTTGGAATGGTGTATGTTGGTGGATTACCACAGAATTACACCACAAAGCGCATAGGACCAGTAAGTACTTATATATATTTTTTACATCAATCAGCTGAATGTGGAGGGATAAATAAATACAGTTATAAATGTGTAAATCTTTTTGTTCCTGTCTGCAGATCGTCTACAGTATTAATGGATGTATCCGGAACTTAATGATGAGCGGAGGTCCTGTCAGCGCTAGGTCAGCTCCAGCAGGTATGGAATAATGCATATTTTTTAATTCAACACATTTTTCTGTTGAATTGCAGTGAATCTAATTAAAACAAAAACATATTTTTCCTCTCCTTCCTGGGTCCTATTGAAGTAATTGAAGACTTTAAACTGGACATGTCTGCACCCAACTCCAGTCACATGGTTGGACGATGTTTTGTTGCTACTGAAACAGGAACCTATTTTGATGGCTCTGGATATCTGAAAGCAGGTGAGTTCACTGCAAGAAAAGTTGGCCAACAAGCAAAAAAGAAAATCAAACGATTTATATGCATCTTTGAAATAAAAAACTAATACTTTTATTTTTCTCCTTTTAGTATCCTCCTATAGAGTGGGTCTGGACGTGTCAATAGCACTTGAGTTTCGAACCAGCAAAACCAGTGGAGTTCTCTTGGCAGTCAGTAACCAAGGCAATGATGGACTGGGTTTGGAAATCGTCGAAGGCAAGGTAGTCTAGCTTCTTCCCTCCATCTCTAAGCTGGGGAGTGGTGGCCTAGTGGTTAGAGCATTGCGCTTGGGTCCTGGAGTTTCTGAGTTCAAGTCAGAAACTTGTCAACCAGCCTATGGAGCAGGTTAACAAGTTCCTTCTTTCTGTATGTCTGCCTCTGTCTCCTTGAACCCCAGTCAGTCTCAGCAGATTGCCGTTCGCACTGAACCTGGTTCTGCTGGAGATTTCTTCCTGTTAAAAGGGAGTTTTTCCTCTCCACTCTCGCTATAAGCATGTTTGGTGTGAGGGATTACATTCTGACTGTATGTTCTGGTTAAATTGTCTCTGTAAAGTGCCTTCAGATGACATACGTTGTGAATTGGTGCTTAAATAAACTGAATTGAAGTCCCCCTCATTCCCACAGACTGGCATTCTGAGTCCCTGAGCAAGACCCTTAATCCCACACTGCTCCCCAATGGGATGGGTTAAATGCAGAAACTGTAAATCCCTTTATTGTCCCACAATTGGGAAATTAAATTATACATTGGAATAATCCAACTACAAACCACTGTGCTAGTCCTGTATGTTGACTTGATGTAATTTGTAACATTTTGTGCTGGACAGCTTAACTAATACTGTTTTGCTTGAGACAGACTGACTACTTATTCCTAAGATTTCTGCAGATAATTTTCTTCAATGATAGTTTTTTTTAATGTTTCTGTCATTCTAGTCGTCTTTTAAATGTACATTTTTGATGATACATTTAGAATTCCAATTGTGTCTATGCAAAAATCATGTTTTCCTTTAGGAGAGACATATTGCACACCATTTGTAGTCCTTAAACCAATGTGTAGAGGTGTTTTATTGTGCCAGAATAAAAAAAAAAAAAAACATACTGGTGTAGAAAGCTAAAAAATTCAGAATTTTTCCAGACTTAATGGCTAGTAAGAAAAAAAGCAGGAGATTGTAACTTTACAAAGTTACAGTTGAATCACATCCACTATGTTGATCTGATTTATCAGGCTTTTCAGTTTATCTGCAGCTTCCAAATGGTTTATCAGTCATCTGTTCAACAGTATCTTTGTGTTAAGAAGTGGAATTTCTGTAGCACAGAACTTGTAATAAATTCATTGTGTTGCAGTTGCAGGATAACAGCTAATCAGATTTATTCCTCATTTTTATCTTTAACAGTTTTAACTTGGAATAGATATACTAGCCTTCTATATTTAAATAGGTTTGTAGTTTTAGATGCGTCAACTACAGGAGGGTGAAATGTTGCCCATAATTCTAGAAAAGCGTGCCCTAAAATCTGAATCATTGGAGGATATCTGTATGTCCAAGATTAAACTTGTCCCTTGATGGTGGGATATTTTAAAATAAAGGCAAGAATGGCAAAAAAAACTATTAGATATGAAAGGGTTTTGATCAATTCTAGTTTGCTGAAATTAACAATAAACTGCCCCATTCTCCAGTGTACTTTTAAAATAATGTTCTCTCTTTTAGCTGCTTTTCCACGTTGACAACGGAGCTGGCAGAATCACTGCAGAGCATGTGCCTACAGGCAAGAGCTTCTGTGATGGCCAGTGGCACAGCGTCACTGCCAACAAGCTTCGCCACAGGCTGGAGCTGGTGGTCGATGGGGAAAAGAGCCAAGCACAGTCTCCGAATGCTCGCTCCAACACCTGTGATACCAACGACCCCATCTATGTTGGAGGATATCCTGGTAGGGCAGCTGAAACCATTCAGTACAGACCGCCCAAACATTCCTAACGTATGCAGCGGAAATAACTTACCTGTAAACACATTTTCCCTCAGCTGGAGTTCGGCAGGCAGCTCTTTCTACCAGCTCTTCCTTCAGGGGCTGTATGAGGAACCTGAAGATCACTAAGGCTTCTAAGACCATGGATGTGCAGTTTAACAAGGCCCTGGAGATTAAAGGAGTCCAGCCTCTATCCTGCCCTGCTGGATCTGCCTAATGCTACCATTTTCATCCAGTAATACCTTTCACAAAAGCTACTTTTATCCTATAAAGCATGGAGTTTATTACATTTAGGCAAGATCTGTGTTTGAAGCTTGACTGAAACCCCACATCCCTCTCTTTGGTACAAGTAGTTTAAAATACCAAAAGCTGTTAAACGTTCAATGGATCTGTTTTAACACTTCTTTTAAAGGAGATAAGGCATAAGATTCCTTTAAGCCCCACAATCTTAATCTGCTGAGCCTCAACTAGGGCTTTAACCCATTTGATGTATCTATTGGCGTCAGCGTCCTTATTACAGTGTTATTCATGAAGCAGGTGGCACACTTATAAAGTCAGTGTTGCGCAGTTAAATTATAGAAGTGTGTGTTGGGCAGCAATGGATTTTAACTTCCATCCTCAGTTATCAAGGCTGATTAAAATAATGTAAAGCTTACAAGGTCATGTCTGTTTATTTCTGTGTGGGGTAAATACATTTAATATTCCTGGTTGCTTTCTGTTTCTGATCAAATATGAACAGAAATGCAGCTCCTGAATTTCTGGCTCCCATTGATTTATTTGACGGATCACTTAAAGATTCCAAAAAAAATTAAAGACGAACCACTGGACTTTGTTTTCAAAGTTTGAAGATGTTTCGCTTCCCATCCAGGAAGCTTTTTCAATTGAGAAAGGTCTTTCAACTTGGAAAACAAAGTTAAGTGGTTTGTTTTTAACTTTTTTTGGAATGACCATGACCTGGAAGACTGAAAATCTTCACCAACATACATCACTTAAAGATACTCCTTGAATTATTTGTATAAAGGTCAGGTTCAGGTCATATGGTCCATTTTAACTTCTGCACCACTATGGACTCTAAGAACATTTGTTAGAAGTTAAGTGAGAAAGCTTGTGCTGCTCAGCAATGATTTGTAAATGAAAGAAATACTAAATGACCGTCAGTAACCAAGCTAAATGCAAGTGCTCGTTTAAGAATTTACGTGAGAAAACAGATCAGATGGGAGCTACTTAACGTTCTAAAAGCACGCAGGACAAAAATGAGCAAACATCACTGTTAACACACCATGCTGTAATGGATTGAAATAATGAATTACCCTGCTATAGTGGCTGGGGATTTGTCTTTTTTTTTTCTTTCCTGCTGATGGATAAAGAAAGCAAATTGGCAAATTAGAATAAGAGACTGATTAAGGCAAGAAACAGGATTAAACTCTAAGCAACCAACTATGGTATAAATGTTACAGCATACAGGGTTGATGGGAAGAGATCAACATGTTACTTTCTGAACCACATGGCCAGCAATGAACAGAAAACTGTCTGAAGTCGAGATGAAACTTGTTGAAAGCTGCAACAGTCTTGAGATTGGAGGGAAATTTTCAATTTTAGCAGCATAGGCCTAAACATACAGCCACAGCTACAACTAAAATATTTACCTGAAAGAATCTGATTTGAATGAACCAGTCAATACTGGGATCCAAATTAAACAGAATCTATAGGATGATAAAGATTGTAGTTCACATATTCATTCTGATGGGACTCAATGCATTTTTTACTAAGTTCATAATTATAGACTACTGTACTTTGTGCTGTCATAGGAAATGCCAACAAAATACACCAAGATCTGTGACTGGTCAGAACTAATGAAAGTAGGTTTGATACAGTCTAAAATTGGCTTTCCAGGGGTTGTATACGCCCAGTTGAGAACAAAAAATGTTGTATGACAAAACCTCACCTGTGGTTTGTTTGAAATGTTTACATTCTCTGTCCAGCTTGAGTACCGCTTTTCATCCACTGGAGGCCAGAACATAGAGGGCACCTGATAAAAGGGTTTAATGCAAGTTCCATGATTTACAGAAAATAAAAAAATACCACACCTCAAACGACAGCCTTTGTTAACCTATGTCAGCTAATCATCTACTTGGAGGAAATACGGTACAGGAAAAGATATGACCATAAAACACTTTCAGAGTTTAATGTTGATGTTCTTGGATGAACATTGAAGTTGGAATCTCAGACTTGTAGGTTGTTTACCTGCACCTGCAGACCAAATACAGTAGAGGGCAGCATCTACCTTCTATAACAGCAAATTAGATTCCTTTACTTGTGTCTGCAATGTCCAGAACCAGGCCCTTACTGCTATGTTTACCTGGAGACTCCAATTACATAGTATCTGCAAGATTTAGAAAAAGAGAAAAAAAAAGGTTCAAAAATCTATGTTCATTGTGCATTCCTTTTTATTATCATGGTCTCTTTACATAGGGTGAAAAGTTGGTAAGACACCAGCTCACGTGTTTCCTTTGTGGCTTGAAGTGGAATGTTTAGAAGACAGAATAAAGCAAACAATCTATCCACAGAACTGGTAACAACTATTTGAGCTTCTGCAATTCTTTTACATGGTCAAGAGCGCAATGATGCACCTGTGAACAATTAAACAGCTAGTTTCAACATTGGGTTTTTATTACAACCCTTAGGAATGTCCAAAGTCTGGTTTTATAAGAGGAACATAAATATTCTAGTTTTAATCATTTCCATTGATCTCAACTTTTAAAAAGCCCTCAGACAATTCAGGTCACAGGTTGTCAGTCAGTAATTTAACAGTTAAAAAAAAAAACATTGCAAGTATTGATTTCTCCAAATGAAAATATCTTTGAAAAAAAAAGTTTAAACTGGCAAAATTTTAAGATTGTGTTCATTTAATGTCTCAAATAGTCACTGTTTGTGTTGCCTCCAATAGCATGGGGAGCTTTCAACTCCTAGAAAAGGACATTTAGTGAAAAAGGCTCCAAAAGCATCTTCGAGGTTAAGAAGAAAAACCCATCAGACTTTACCACTCTGTCAGGACAGGTCAGATACACTCAGCGCCGGGATGCATCACGGTCAGTGATGGTTTTTATCTACTTAATTTAACCTGCTCTGTGTTTGATGTTGAAGGCATATACAACATAAAATGTTTCTGAAAAATATAGGTTAGAAATGAAAGTTATTTAATCCACACAGGGTCAGAAGTATAAACAATATATATCTAAATAGATCAGAATTTTCAATGTTCTGTCTCTTACTAGGTTATGTATAGATAAATTAATATTGTATAGTGTATATAATATTAGGAAAATATTTCAGGAATTCACTTGTATTATTCTCCAGACTATGGCTTGGGGGATAATGAAAATGCCAAAATTCTGTGACTCAAACAGCATTTTCAATAGATTAGTAAGAAAGGATCATTCTAAACAGAAAGGTCAACTTTTTAAAAAAAAAAATATATTTAATGCAAATTAATACTACTGAATGCATTACTGGATTAATACAAGGAGCCATTGAGGCAATAAGTGTTAAGGAATCTCAGGTGGCTTTATAATCAAAGACAAAGGTCATAAATTGTCAATAGGGTTTGCCTTCAAAGCCTGTTAAGATGCTTATTATTTAACAACTGTAAATCAGTTTCGTGTTCATCATGTTCATTTTGGGATACTTGGTGAAATGTGTGCATTACTGTATACTTAGAAGCTTAGACTGCAAATATTAAATGAACTCTACCAAATTGATCAAATATGTAGGCAGGAATATGCAGAAGCTAACTAATTGGTACGTATTCGCTGTAGGATGAATTATCAATATGGGCTGTATGCTTAGTTTAAACCTCTAGGTATATTTTTTAAAACAATATGGATAAGAAAAAAAGAAAAATAATGATCATATTTTTCTCCGTAATTGCTATTGTATTGTTTAACTTATGAAATAAGAAATAAAAAATGAAAATGTTTGATATTCATGGTAATACGATTTTAACTGCTGACTGGGGCTGTATGGAGACAATTTTAGATCATAATCTGGTCCTGCTTTAAGGTCCGCCATGTTGCTGAAATAGACAGTATATAAAAGGAATTGATGTGTTAGATAATACCATTTCACTTTGGTGGAAATTCAAAATTTTTCTGCTGAATTCTTCTATGTCCTGTAAGGAAATAAAATGTTAGTTGCCTGCTCAAATTAAGGTCCACTGTAAGTATATCACAAAGTGCATTTTGATGTAGCCTCAAACTGATGATGCTTTTTTTTTTTCTTAAAGTGAAAAACATAGAGGTAACTGTGATTCTTAAAAGTATTTGTAACCCAGCATTGAAAGACCCTCTGCCTGAGCAGCACACATTTCCTATTTTTGCTTAAAAGTCATTGATACAAATTCCTAACCATTTTTCAACATATACTAAAATGTTGATGCACATCTGTACCCGTCATCTTTTCAAGTTTCGATCACTGTAAACCTGCCCTTCTTCCTTCCCTTTTTACATCCTATAGTGAAGTGGAAAAAAACACCAAGCTACAGCAATAATCTAAGTCTCATTTCGACATCAGTCAAAGTATTCAAGCATTCCAAGTAAATATCACTGAAAGTAAAGCATTAACCTCCTCAGCTACCATAATAAAATGAGTGCAGTCAGAGAAAAAAAAAAAAATCTCCCTCAGTCTTGTTCAATACTGGTTTCAGAACCAAATCCTCCAAAGCTGAAAAACTGTAGTGTAACAGCACCCCCTGGTGCTAACTCTGGTGACTTATTGCGTGCTGTTGGTCCTCCCTTTTTCTGAAGGCGCAATCCAGATGTGTTGGGTTTCCATTTCAGCAGTCTTGGTTTGTTTGACACCCTCAGCCTCCCAAAGCTGCAACCACACAAACAAGAGTCCTTTTCCTAAAGCTTCTTATCTGCCCGCCTCTGCTGTGGGTAAGATTGGTCCTATTCGGGATCCAGACCTCGTCAGGATGACTGCATGAGGCCCGTGAGTCGTTTGCTTGTAAGCGATTTGCCCTGGATATAGACAGAGAAGAAAACAGATTGATTCTTGTTCTAACTAATTTAGACATTTAGTTGGGACCAAAATCAAACTTTAGGAATCGAATAGTTTAACATGTACTATCAGACATGCTCATCAACTGATAGGGCAGAATAGGAAGTAAAGAAAAAGGTTTGTATCAAAAACTATACTTTATTACATCTAGTGATGTTAAATCTCCTTTTTTAATTTCTAAAAATACAAAATCAGAAATAATATTTACATAACTATTCACACCCATGTAAATTGAGTTCAGATTTAACGTGAGGTGCATACGGCTCATCTTTAAGATCTTCCTGCAGCTCAAATGGTGTACACCTGTGCTAAAAACATAGCTGGGAAGGATTAAAAAAGACGCTGCAACTTAAGGTGGATCAACAAAGTATTTGGCAAAGGCTTTGAGTACTTAGAAAAAACATTTAATTCATTAGTTTTCTTTTTATTTATAAATTTGCAACAACCTCACATAATAAGGGATTGATTTTTGAACTTGAAGGAAAGATTTGAGAGTAAAGATTTAAATCCATTGAAATAATACAGTGTTTGTATACTTTCCAGATACACTGTATATTAAAATAATTTGGGAAATGAAAGTAAAATGGGTTATTTTAATAATAATCATTTTAACATATTATTTCATTAAGGTTATAAAGTGAAATAAATAATTTATAGAGCAAAACAAACAGCTCAAATGCAGGTATCTATTTATCCCCTTAATTATTTCTTATGCTCTAAAACCGTCCCAATAGTATCCTTTATCGCAATTTATTTTCTCATAGTGATACTTCTAGACAAAGCAATTAGTGTCACTGATAAGTCAACTAATCTAAAATGTTTTTAATGAGACCACTGTTTGAGTTTTCTCACGTAAGGAGACAAAGTGCAGCAAGTTTTAAAGGGCAAGTTAAGTAAAATGTTATTAAAACAAATTGTGTTGTAAAAAATGGTAAATACATGAATGTATTATATAAGAACCTAACAGCAGAACCTCCCTCACTGCATGCTGCACATACCGTAAACACATTATCTACTTCTACCTGGATGTTCCAGCAGCAGCATTCAGTTCAGACCATTGGCTTGTTTTTTAATTAAGTTTTAGGACAAGCAATAAGGCTCTTACCACACTGCGAGTGAACTTCTCCAGGGAGGTGCGTCGCCCCTGCTCCGTTTCAGGCTACAAGGCCAAAGAAAGAGCCACACAGTTAAACTCCTTTTAGTTAAAGCAGAAAAACAAACAGGATTTTTCATTAAATCAAGTGAATAAAAGTTAGACATAAAATAAATAATTTCAATGAGAATATAATGCTTAATGCCTATATTTAGCCCTTATCTGTCATTACTATACTCAAGCATATTTTACTAAAAGTACGGATGCAAGGGTGTCTGAGTTTTACATAACTGTGTTAAACAGTTGATTTTTTGATTTGACAGAATTATTTTTTCAGTTGGAGTTCTGCAACAGAATCCATTATGGATTTAGTCAGAGCCTGGCAACCTCTACCTCTAGCTTGGTTGTTTCACAACATAAATACAGTTTGATCAAAACCACTACAATGTTGGCTGCATGGTTAGTCATTTCTTATGTTAGAACATAAACATCTGTCTCTCACAGTGTTTCACTAGCGTTTTTTCAGGATTGCCCTGATTTGGGCTCTACAGCCTGATGCTGCTATTAGCGTTTCTTTTACAGTGCAGCTTGTATGCTCAGGGTTATATGGAGTGCTGATCCTCCCAAACAAAAACATTTTGGATAAAGACCAAATAGTTTAATTTCATTTAAGGCTTCATTTGACCAAATCATATCTTTCCACAAGTTTGCACAGTTCCCTAAATTGCTTGTGGCAAACTACATAAATTACTTCAAACTGATTCCTCTAAATTGTTTCTTCTTGCCTTTGATCAATAAAGAATGTTAGACATGATTATCAATAGATTATCCTAGGTTACTTGCAGATCCTTCCACTTCCTCTAGGGCTACCAAGGGCCCATCAGCCGGCTTCTTTGATTAAAAATCTCCTTAATTAACCTGTTAATTTCTGTGATAATTTTCCAATTTTGGTTTGGTTTCATCACCAAATTCATCCACTTCTCCAGAACATTTTTCCCTCCATACATACCTTGTGGGCCTCTAGGACTTTTTAATGCCGTTTGCTCAAAGATGTCTTCTAACAAAATTTTTAAAGCCCCCATCACACCTTGACGATTTAGCCAGCTTATGCCTGATATATGAAGAATCTGGCAAAAACGCTGGCATACGTCGGATAAGTTATGGGTCAGTTTTGAGCACACTAAAGCACTCTGAAACACCCTGGCACATGTCGACATACAGCGAGTACGTCAAGAAATTTTGAACATGCTCCAAATTTCTGGACGTATGACAGCGTATGCCATACGTGGGGCATAAGTTATAGGTAAGTTATTTGATTGTTGGCATATGTTAAGTGTAAGTTACTCATAAGTTGTGGTGTCTAGCTTATCCAAAACCTATAAGTAAATTGAGCAGAACTTATCTCCAACACATATCAACGTATTTGAAGTGCTCCAGAAAACCACTGAACGTGTTTCTAACTTACAGCTACTGTATAATCACATATTGGCAGCGTTTTGATATAAAAGGGGTTCACAGGAGGAAACCGTCTGTACTCCTCTAGACTTCATCCCCATCATACAGTAGGGTGAGCGAGAAGGTGGGTGTGATGGATCTTCCCTGCATTCACACTCTCGGCCACGACCAACAAACTTCCTAGCAGACATTATGCTGAACCTGCTGCCACTGCAAACCTTCTTTCTTTATTTATTTATCTTTTTCTTTATTAAGTTCTTTTTTATTTTTGGCAGGTGGTAAACAGCAGCTAGGTTAATACCGCGATCAAAGAAATCTTTTTATGCAGACCAGGCACCTCTTGGCACATTGCTGCCCCCCTCAGGACACTGGCTTGTAACGTTTTATGCGCATTACGCTGCTGTGTGTTATGCATAAGTTAGGCTGTCAAACATATGCTCTGTACTCATTACAAATACTCTATGTATATGCCGAAAATGTAAAAAATACAGAAAGTTCAGCGTTTTTGGAGATTCTGGGACATCAGGCATATGCTTGCTAAATCGTCAAGGTGTGACAGGGGATTTAGGTCATAATAGAGGAACTGTATTTAAGCTTGAAAAAAATATTCACTAAATAGGTAATGGATAACATCAAATGGATGCATTGGATTTTGTTTGTGGTATTAAAGCAATGGGGGATAAATGCAAATGACATACAAATATCCCTTTCTCTCTACTTAATCATGAGCTGCTTTTGTTTGATCCATCATAAAATCCCATAAAATTACATTGAAATCTATGGTATGAATGTTTCAAACATTTGCAAAAGCTAAAGGACCCATAAACAGACAACATGCTCACTTTCTTCCTTGCTGTTAGCAGGTCCTGGTACACATTGGAACGTAGGAAACGTGGGTAGCTGTCACTTTTCATCAGCTTGTATATGTGGTCCTTAATGAAAAGGAAACATAGAAATAAAAGTAAAATGTGATGTCTTTACAAGAAACTGGTGTAGGTAATGAACTCATCTATAGCTCTGAGATATAAGCAAACCAACAAAAAAGGTTTTAAAAGAAAGGCAATGTCAAGAAGAATTTAAAGAGGATTTTTGCAGGATAAAGAGGGCTGCAGTGCAATGCCGAGCACTCAGCAGGTCAAACCTTTTCTTTATTAAAGTCTTCGTTCAGAGGTCTGTAGCAGAGGAGAAAATTGGATAGACAACCTCAGGCATCTCTCCCCACACTCACTGAATCCTCCATCTCTCAGAAAGGTATATTCTCCACATCCACAATAAAAATCTCAAACTCATTAACTCTGATAAAGCATGCATGAAATACAAACTAGACAGACAAGAGTGTAATACATAGCTATAAAAGTAGCATCCCTGACAAGAAAAACTTCAATACATACGTTCTTCTTTTATTGTACATATGTACATTAAATGAAAACCGCAGCCTCCAAAAGTTATTTAAAGCAAAGGACCTCTGAGTACCAGTTTTGACCTATTTGGACTCTTTTATGTGAATCAGAAGGAACATAAGTACTCCAGCATTGGTCAGCATTGCTTCACTTAAAAATAAATTTAGTTGCCTTTAAGGTTGGTTGAAACTGTATAACATGCTGTAAAGCCACAAATTGATATTTTCCATCTCCGAAAAAATAACTGAATACCAGTTTTCAGAGAAGCTCTGCCTCAGCTATAGATCTGGGACAGACTGACTCAATGACATCTATAAATGTTTCTATTCTGTCCAGAGTGATGATTATTAAAATGAGTAAAACTCCAGTTTCACAATGTTAACCCCTAGAACCCTACGGACCCACCGGTGGGTCCAGCTGCTACGTGACCTCGTAATTTTAACAAACCCCCAGTATTGATGTAAAAAACACATTTGGCACAGTTTGGTGACATTTATGGATAAATGTGCCAAAATGGCCCCTCCGCCTAAGAAATTTAGATTTAAAAGTCTGTACTACTTTTTTGTGCCATAAATAATATTTTGGTAGTGTTTTGCAATGTTTATTTCAAAGAAAATTTTGGCGAGGTTCAAAAAATGCAAAATATTTTGTATTTTGTCCCTAATATTTCAGGCAGGGTCAAAGCTACAATGGTGTTGACACCAGAAAACCATTCTATGACATCTTACCTTTACAGACGTACCAAAAGTTTCTTCTTACATCTAATAGCCGTGAGGCTATAAGTTATTTACTTTTGTGTGTTTTTGTCAGGCAGAAATTTATTTATACCCCCTTAGGGTGTAAGAGGTTAAACTAAGCGATAATATTGGTTTACATGATTGGATATGCTTCATTTATCAGGTTACTAAGCCACCTGCAGAGCCATGCTGTCCAGCTCTGAGCCAGATCATGTCTTAAATACGGCCAAGTGCTGGCATACCAATGGTATTTCAACCAGAACTGGGTCAGGCGATGATGGCAGTGGGTATACCATGACATCAACATGGTGGTTTGGTATATGTTGCCAAAACATGTACATGCCATACAAAGGCCAATTGTAGCTGAGCTTCTCTTGCCCATAATATGTGCTGCTTGTAAACCTAAAATTAATTTTTCTTACCCATTTTTTTTTTTTTACCTTCGACAGCACCTCACACATCTAGTTTTGTCTTTCAGGACTTGATAAGAAAATCTTGATTGTTTGAGGGGAATTTTGATATGTTTTAATCTACTGTTATTCAATTCAAAAATAGTTTGTGTCAAAAAGGAAACTAAATACTAAAGTAACCTTTTTTTTTCTTTTCAATGAGTTGTTTAAAGGAGAAAGGATCATCAATAGAGATACGACTCTACAACAGATTTATAGACAATATGCAGCATCTTGTTGAAAGCAGTGAAGGACAAATCAGCGTCTAGAGGTTGTGTCTAAAGTCTATTCTGTTGTCCAGGTGATCACCAAGGTATTTATACACCACCTATACCTATATTAATACACCACCTATACCTATATTAACTGAATGGATGGTTGTATAAATTTGTCATTTCTGTGGCATTTTAATACATATCAGCTGTTTAAAGGTGCAAAGAGTAAGCTCTAGAGTTTATAGTGGTGACAAGTTAAAATTGAACCATGGGAGAAGAGGAAAAACATCTGCATCACAGGTATTTTGTTTAGGGAGAATGTCTTCTGGGGTAAGAATGTAAGGTTATGAACAACCAAAGAATAGAACCACTAAATACTGCGTCATGTATTTTATGTAAACGTATAGGGACGAAAAAAAAATTATATTAACAATGCTCCTTAAATGTTCAAGTGTTATCAAGAGTAGCAATTTTAGCATATTATTTACAATATACAGTAGAGCATTATAGAGTTATTCTGTTATGTAGTGGTTTATGCATGTTTGACTGTTACATAGTGGTTGCATCAAGGAGGGCTTTGAATTTTAAAACAAATGTGTAACCAAGTCCAAATGACTTTCTGTAGCAAGCCCTAAATAAATAAAAAGCCAAAATGACTCCTCATCAGATTTAGACTACATTTTTTTTGAGTTCATTGAATTACCACATGGTTTATTTAGGTGGGATTTGAGCTGACATCTGATTTTGTAGGCAAGAGCTGGGCCAGAACAGTTTTGCTATGTGGGTTGAAGTGATGGCAAACGCACTCGATAAAAATCTTAAAATCACCTGTTAAACTGCCTGTTTTAAATCAAATTGTCTACATTGAATTACCTGCTCAAAGGTTCTGTGATCAGAATCTGCTGATTGTTACTCATACAAAACTGGAAGCTAAAGGACACTGACCCATCATCTAAATTGTACAATTTGTAGGTTCACCTTTCCAGGGCTCAACAGAAAGAATGCTATCATGGGTAAGTAAGGAATTTTGAAATGCTGTGCCGAACCCAGACACCCTTCAGCCTTCCAGATGTTACTTGATGGAAACACACATTGATGATGCAAGTCAAATAGGGACTATGGCTTTTCAAAAAAGATCTGAGGGCAAAGTTCTCAATTATAAACCAAAAACATATAAAAGTGTGTACATTTGCATACATTACCCAAAATTAACATGCAAGGATTAAACCACGAGGAGCTGCGCATTAAACGGTTTAAAGGCACGACGTAGAGTACACCACGACCCATGCAAAATGCATTTAAACCGTGAAATGAGCACCTGCATGCATTCTTGGAGTTTTTAATTCATTTATACCATGATTACACTGAGTAAACATTTTATGACAAAGGTTAATTTGATTTAATAAACTAGCTTATTACTGTATGTCTAAGTTTTTTTGTTGGCCTCGATTTATTTTTTGGCAAACCAACCGTTCAAGATACCATGAAGAAATGGAAATAACACTTGCATACACAGTATGTCGCTTAACTATTTAACTATAGAGGCAAATGTATTTATTATTTTTGTCCAGATATATCAAAATTCATTGCAAAATACCTTCTACCACGATGCCTCATATTTATCTGTTAAGTCAACAGAGTATGGATGGTTTATCCATTGCTATGGCGCCCGTAGCAAAATAATAAGACGTCGATTTAGCTTGACAGCTAGGTGTGTGAATACTGCAGCAACGAGGTTAGTGAAGCAGAGCTTTTATAGTATTGTTACCTACATATTGCCCATGAAGTAAAAGAAAAATAAACAAACCCACCCTCTTGTTAGGATTATGATGTGTGAGTCAGTTAAACCCTAATAATATATGCCTGTTGCGTGTCAGAACTAATGCTTTCCAAGTAGTTTAGCTAATTGGGACAGTTCCTCCGTCCGGGTAAAAAGTCATCATCATTATGCATGTGGCAAAGATTTGGGAATGGAATTAGAGCGATGTCCTTGATCTAATAACATAGTGTAATATCATGATTGGCTGAAGGTACGGATGTCTCCTTATTAACAAACGTATGTTATGTAAAGATGTGGCTTACTGGAGTTGTATAAAATGTTTCTTTAACAGTATTTTGGGGCCACTTCACAAAATGTGAGCCCAGTTGGTAAATAAACAGGAAAAAAAAACATCAAGAACATCCGGTTCTTCAAAGTCAAATGGGGTAAAGACATATCAGTAACTACTAATTTGAGCATAAATTTTATATATATATTACCAAAAAAGAAGGTTGTTCGATTGGATGCAGACTATTTGTAATGCCGCATACCAGGAAGCAGATTTTTAATTTGGATCAAAATAATGATTTTATGCTTAAAATTTTTTTTTATTTTTTTTATCTAGTCTAAGAGCGCATCTGACATATTCAAAAGAAACTTCTTATTGCAGGCAAGGATGAAGAGATGCTGATTTTGGAATTTGAGATCAAACCAATTTTTTATGATCTGAGTTATTTCTAATACAAAGACCCACAATGAAAATTTATTTGGAGAGAAACTGCATGTGTGATGAATGCTAATGGTAAGTTTTAATTATCTCATATCAAATTGAGCGTTCATTACCGCATGTTTGCTCCTATGAAACATAATGCATGCTTTCTGACACCAAGAAACTCCGAGAGCAGCAAGATGGGAGGAACCGTGGAGGCTTTAAGCTTCGATTTGCACAAGCGGTCTGGAGCGGAGCGGGGCTGTTATGGAGGATTTCAGGGTAAGAGTGAGTCACACTGTATTTTATAACAGCGATGGAATGCGGCTCACCCAATCACATTAGAAAATGGGAAACAACCATTTTATAAATGAAAATAAGGCAAGATTAGAATTCTCACTGATCATGGTATAAGATGAAATAATGTATTTTTGTTAAACTCTGAGTTGGGTTGTGCCTATACATCCATGAGAATGGTGGGAGGTTCATTTACTAAATGTACTATGAAAGGAAAAATCCTTTCCTCTCCCTACCTCATTCCTTACTGCCAACACTATTCAGACAGCACTTATGGCGTCCGCCAACGCACTTCTGCTTTGGTACTTGCCATTTTTGACTAAGATTAGCAGACGCAGTGGCTTCCTTTAAAGACCAAATAAGGAAAAAAAAAGAAATTTTAAATCTGCTTTTCTTTAATTGTATATTGTGTACTGTTTGTTGTTTTTACAGTGTTCTGATAACCGATTCTTATATTTTAGATTTGAAATGTGCTAAATAAAGTTTAAGTTATTCACTCTCTTGCCCTTATCTCTTTTTTTTTTTTTTTTTTTTAATTCTACTTATAACCTTAAGTAAATATTTTAATTTGCCTTAAGAAATTATTTTGGAGTAAATAAAACAACCACTATCACTGCTTCAGAAAGCAAGAAAATAGTCTAGTGTTCTAACAGAAATCTGGCATAAAATGCTTTGTGGTAAAAATACAGTCACATATTTTCTAACAAAACCAAAAAGCACCCCTTTTCTTTAGACAAAATAGTCTTGTTGCAAACTCTTTGTTAGCAGCAAGACAACGTGACAGTTGTACATCTGCCAAAGTCTACCGGCATTATCTCATTTAAGTGATTTCCAAACCTCTAGCCACTTAGTTCCTATGTTTTCCTCCTACCTGTGCATCCTCATAGCTGTACCGTCCAGGGTCTTTCAAGTTCTGGCTGGTGATTTCATAGCTATGCGAGTCCAGGTTGATGGAGCTGGGAGCTCCTTCTGCCAGAAACTCAGCCCAAATGTCTTGCACCCTTTGTACAACATCCTGCTGGGGAACCCTTTTCAGACCCTGTACTGCTAACCAGAATCTGCAATACAAATCACATAAGAAAAAAATTGTTAATTTTGTAAAGACCATTTGATTTTATCTGAAATGATCTTGAACTTTATATGAAGGCAAAAGTAAGGAAAACTTAAGATGCACATAATTAACAGCCTCAAGGATCTGATCAAAAGTAACATTTTAGCAGTTACTTATTATTGAAAACGTTTAATTTGTTCCTAAATAAGTTAAGTTCTAAGTCCTATACTTTAAGCCTAGCTTTATACTTTAAGTCTGAAAAATACGTTTTCCGATAAGTATTGTATAAAATGGAGTTTTTATAGACAAATCCCATATCCAAAGGTGATTTCTGAGGGTGTCCTTGTTGCCTTCAGATTCATTGAGTAGCTAATTGTACATTTTATGGTTGAACATCTTAACTGTGTTGTTCAGTATTTACTTGATAGTCGTTACACGCCTTTACCTCTTCACCTCATAATGAATAATAGGTTGTACTTTATTGATTTAATGTCTGCCTGTAAACAAAAGCTCACAAAGTGAATTTAAACTTCTGTCGGGGTCTGGATGTGTTTAACGTTCTTTATGTAGCGGTCTTGGAGAGAATTTTTATATTAAATCTTTAAACTAAACTGGGTCTTTCATTAAGAAGAATGCTATTCTTTGTGTTTTAGATTTTATAATTGCAACTATCATTGGCTTTATTGGGGTAAAAACAGATAGAAAAAAAAAGGATTATTCATTTGCTTTAGGAAGCCATCTTGGACATTTGCTTCAGTTTATTATATATTATACTGCATTTAAAATATACTTAAAAGACAGATGAAACAAAAGTTCAAAAGATCAATCAGTAGGTTTCCAGCTTGATCCGACTTTACTTGTGACTAAAATCTCAGAAATGGTTTTCCTATAACAAAATGCATTAGAGGAAAGTTGCACTTCCGCCTAATAAAATATGTAACTCCTTATGTTGGCAGTTGTTACTGTAGGGAGAAGACAGAGTTATCCAACAATTTATTCAAGCTCAAAGTAAGTGAAAAAGAGCTTTTTGATTTTGTAAAGATAAACAATACTTTGAACAGAGTTCATGTGCTCCGTTAAATCATTTTGAGCTCGGGACACAAAGGAATAGCAATTACTGACAGCATTTTTGATATTTCAGGGTTAAGGTCACATTTTCTTGTAAGACAGAGTAGAAAATGTTTTACTTTTATTAATCTGGCTGCACTAATTTCTGCTTTACAATGCCAAAGACATGTCATAGTTTAAACTTTGCCATCATCTTGTCATTACATTGGGTCCATAAATATTTAAACACTGATCATAATAAAATTAAACTTACATATTGTGTTCTTGAGATCTATTTATATTGTTCAAAAAGGAAAACTGTCATTGGTCATTTTTATTAACAGAAATATAAACCGTGAGGTTAGAAATCAGTTTCACTTTCTGACTGGTGCCTTTCATGATAGCCGTACAAAATAGTTCTTTATTAAGAGCTTTTGGATCATTCTTTTATCATTCTAATTTTACTTACCTCACGTTAAAGCAGCTGTACAACAGCATTTTCTGTTTTGCTTTTTACTTTGTCAAACAATCAATGCTTCAAATATATTTACATCACCTCTGAAAACTTAGCTAAGCAGAAATATGTTGTGAATCCACATTTTTAGAGCAATCCGACAATCTTTCTATTAAGGCGATACATCAACAGAGATAGCACAAAGCCACAGGATGACTACTTCTAATATTACTTTCTCTCTCTATTGATCTGAGGACTTAGCAATATAGAGGAAAAGCGCCTCTGGGGTCTACTTCTTTGATTCACTCTCAATTTCTCTACAAATGCTTCAAAAGCTCCATCATAAGACCAACACACAGAAGAAAAAACACAAACATTTACAGCTGTTTTGAGCATGAGAGGCAGAACATTAGGTTGTGTGTAAATCCTTTTGTCCAAATGAGGGATGAATTTAATATGTTGTCTGCAAATCAAATAGCTACTCCTAAATTAACACATTTATTCACTTGGAAGTGAAAACCAACAACCTATGAAAAATAAAACATATGTTTGGGTTTTTGTCTAGCCGTTTCTTCTTATATACATATGTGGCATCGTGTCTTGGTGTGTCAATTTGTTTATATAGCGAAAAATAAACTAAGATCAATGTACATAATAACTTAATAGCGCATTAATTGATCAACCTGAACTGAGAAAAAGACTACACAAGAGCATTGTCAAGGAACTTTTTTCTCAATGAGAGACACAGTTTTAACAATAATAAGCCAATGCACAGGAGAAGTATGACAAAAAGAGCATCATTGCAATGCTTCCACTATACTTCAGCAGGTATGCATTGCAGATGATCAGATTATCATCATCTAGGATGAGTTTAGGTTGAGTTGAGTTTATTCTTAAGATTATTCCCAACAGAGAAATCGTTTGTTCCAACCTTCAGTCAGATTTCACAAAGGGCTCAAATTGCACTGAACCACAGTAACCCAAGTACAGTTAACCACATCAGTATTAACATACAGTACAAGCACATCCCCTAAACACTAAGTGATGGGGTAATGATGTCGGCCTCCTTTGCAGCCACTTGACCTGGACAACTTGCAGTGACTAAATCTATCATTGTTATCTCTGCAAACCAAAATGTTGTACAGTCTCATACCTAAAGGCTGACAATCGGTCTTTCAACATAATTACCCCCAACAAAGCAGGTTATGTACCTGTCAAAAAACTCAAATAGTCAAAAAATGTCACACAGAAACATATTTATTAGTAATTATTCATAATATATCTCAGAACTAAATCATCTTTGTAGAGGAAGTCGGGTCACAAATTCCTTACCAAAAACAAAAGACTGTACAGGTCAACTAGAAAACGATCCTCAGTCACGGGAAGAAATGGCTGTAAATTGTAGTAAACTAGAACATTTATCTTTATAATATGATTAAAATTCTGATGTTTCAAATGCTCATGTTATGCCATGTTTTTCAACAATGCTTTCAAAAATAAAACCTAAGAACAATATTTATTAATACTGGCTTTTGTCAACAGTTTCAGTTTTATTAGGAAAATAATCTCTTTGAGAAACTCTAGTTGTAAAAGTGCTTAGAAAATCCCAATTTATTCTATGATTTAGGAGATTATCCGAGCTTCCGTTTTCCCTCACCTCAGGTTTTCTGTGCTAAACTCTGACTCTAGGAACTTGAGGAACAGGTCCTGTCCAGCTGGATCCTTTAAGGCCTCATCCAGGGAGAAACCCCACTTCTTTACCCTTTGCTGACTGGGCTCTTTGCTGGGAAAGACAAGAGGGGGAAAGGGGAAAAAAAGCAGTTTAAAACTTTACTTTCATCAATTTATTTCAATTATTATTACAATAAAGATTTAGAAGAGAGTTCTACCAAAGGGAAGCAGATTTGAATGTTTAATAAATTGAAAGATCAGCAATGGTGACATAGAGCCCTAGAAATATGTTCATAATGTTAAATTAATAGGTATAATTATCTTATTGGGCAAGCATTTATTTGATTTAGTATTTAGTTAGAACAATTAATTTGGTTTATGACTAAATATGTGCTCAAACCATTTTATTAAATTTTTTTTGTTATTTTATAGATTTGTGTCATAATGACTCTTTAAGAAGGACACAATGCATGTTGGGAGTTAAAGGTTCTTGACCTGTGTATATTTACGGAAAGAGAAAACTACATACGCTCTATGCTCGAACCGCTTGTTTAATAAAGTTGCACAAAAGCGAAAAACTCTGTTCTTTTTAAGGGTGCAACAGTGATTATATATATATATATATATATATATATATATATATAAATAAATCAACTTAAAATAGGTGTTCCTTTAACATGGGATGGATTATATTCCTGTGTCAAATGCAATCAATTCAGATAAATTAATGTGCATTACGCTCCTTGATTATGTGTCTTCTCTAATTTATTCATTATTCACTTAGGCCAGCAGTTCAGAGCACAGTTCAAATTGTTGAGAGTAGAGTTCACCCTCTAGATTTCCATTTATATTTCATAAATAATTCAGGTAGCCAACAGTAATATCACATAGCTGTGTGAATTTTCAAAACAACAAAAAAGTAGATCAACTCAGTTTTTATTTATTTATTAATTTTTTTTACTTATGTTCCCAGCTGTAGACATACAAAATCTGACTCCTATTGGAAATTCATATTGTTGCAATGACAACAGCTTTTAAAAAATGTTTTCCTGTTGCAGTTAAAAATGCCTAAAATCCAGTCTTGAGACTGGAAACCTGATGTAAAATGTACTTATCAAGACAAAATAATAGATACAGAGAAGCTATTAAGTTAATTTTATTAGGACTGTATGTGTGGGCAAGTACATGCTAAATTGTGGGCACATTTAAAAATCAAATTCCCAGGAATATTCACAAGATAAGGAAAAGTTCTATTCTTAGGTTAGTTTATGATTAAGTTGTGAACTGAGTTTAGGTTAGGTTTAGACTTAGACAAACTTTAGCCTGACAACTGGACTTTCAAGACAATTGTACCTACAATAATTTTGTAGTGTATGCAACATTAAATTATGTTGCCTTTAGCTTCCAACAGTAAAATGAACATTTGCATTAAAGTGCAGCAGTGGTCATCATGTAAACAGTATAGGAGAAAAGGAAAACCAGTTGAAAAAAATAATAATGGTGCAAAAGGGCCTTAATATGGAAAAATTCATTGCAGTACAAAATAAATATGGTGCAAAATGCAGTACAGGGCAAGTTATGTTGGTATTTGTTGGGATTAGGCCTGCAAATGAATGTGAGATGAATGACACTATAAGGATAACAGGACATGTTGGTACATGCTAACATGCTATTTATGATTAAACCTACTAAACCTGTACTTCCTTCAGACAGACTTTTTTCTAAGTTTTTTAAACTAAATGCTGAGCTCAAATTGTGTTTTTAAAGGTTTACACTACCCAAACCTTTAGTTTGTGAAAAACAAGCTATACCTGCATTCAGGCATTTCGATTCCTCAACCACTTTAACTATTTTATTATCAAATAATTTTTCAAATTTCTCATGCTAATAAGATAAAATCAAAATGCATGGGTGGTAAGAAATAGCAAAAAAATATTGTCAAGGATTTTTTTTACTCAGAAATTTAATAAAGCAATAGTCCACAAGTTTGAGACGGTTTAAATCTTTGAACACCTAACACTTTTTGAATAAGAATGAAAACAGGGTGACAGGAAACATTACTTTCAGAGAAAGAGCTCCATTTGTTTTTTGTTTTGGACCAGCAAAATTATAAGGTCCACAGTAGAGCATTTTGTGTTGCAACAAAACAAAACAAAAAAAGACAAGAAACAAATATTTTTAAATATATATTTTTAGATGCACAACCCACAAATGTAATCTCTGTCTTTTTGTGAGTTTCTATAATGTAAATGTTAGCAGGCTTTAAAGCAAAAAGCAACCGCTTTTACTAGTGTACCTCATCTCCAGATCCCAGAGAGTGGGGTCATCACTGGTCCAGGGATTGGATGGTTCGGGTGATGTCACAAATGGGTCATACTCCATGAACTGCTCAGTGTAAATGATCAGACTGGTTTACAAAAACACACATGAATGCATGTTAACAGGGTGAGATCAACATTGATATACACAAGAACCATGGTTCATAAACTGTGGCACATCAAGGGATAAAGACTTGGCACATAAATAAATGACAAGCCTTCAAAAAGATTGATTCTTTAAGTATATTCATCTTTGTTTCACTAGAAAACGTTCTGTATGTGATCAACATATTTCAAGAAACTGAAGTATAACCACATTTAGATGACAGAATAAGAGTTTTCCTGCTCATTTTTCCATGGGCATTCCGAAGAATCAGTTAATGTTGCTCCCCTCAGGCGCCCGGAAGCGCCCGGCCTGCATAAAAAGAACTCTTTGATCGCGGTATTAACCTAGCTGCTGTTTACCGTCCGCCCAAAAAAATTAAAAAGAATAAAAAGTAAAAGAAAGTTTGTAGTTTCAGCAGATTCAACATCATGTCTGCCCCATGCAGGCATACATTGGGAAATCTTGAGTATGCCAGCATTTTTGCCAAATTTTTCATATGCAGGCATACGCTGTCTAAATCGTCAAGGTGTGACACGGGCTTTATGCCCTTTTTGCCCTCTTTTGGCTCTTAATAAAGCAATAATCCTGGTTAGATAATTTTTTAACAGTTGAACAAAAACCCTATACATGCACATGCAAGCATATACACAGACTTAGTAAGCATGTTTATATTGACTGAGCAAGTTTTAAAAAATCATTTAGGTGTAAAGAGAGGTAAAGAGAATGCTTAAATACAGAGTAGTGCCATACGAAGGGAAAAGTAGAAACATAAAATGATTAATGTCCAATAGCATCTCCCATGAATCATTTCTGTCAAATAACTAAACAAAGTAAGAATGTCCTTATAGAGAAAGTGAATTGTCTGTTATTGAAACTGTCCCCTAAATTCAAGGCAAAAACTTTATTAAAAGTGGTTCCTTTTCAAATATTTATTCTGAATTAGCAGATTAATCACAGACAAATTTTATTCCATGAGTTTCACAAAAAACACTTCTAAGATCCAGATTTATGTTCCTCTCCAAGTTTTCTAAAAACCGTATAACAAAACCAAGGCTCCTAAAGAATGATCATATATCTTTTATTAGGGTAACCTTGGAGCATATGTTTAAAAAATACAAATATTACGTAAAAAACTATTTGCTTCAGATAGCATTAAGCTGATATCTCCTCTTAACTTTGTGGCCTGTAATAACCAGTATTTAATGTTCATCATGTTTGTGGAGTAGGATTTATTTTACCTTTCAGCAACCTTGGACATTTTCAAACAGTGTCGATCTAGCTGGGTGTTTAGAAATAAAATCTGTGGAGAACCCAAAAAAAGGCATTATTAGCTAAAAGGAATGCAGAATGAGAAATAACACCTTTTTACTGCACTATGGTAAATAAATAAGATTGTGTTAGGCCATGTTTGCACAGCAGGTCTTGATGCTCACTTCTGTTTTTTTTTCTGAAATCCAACCTTTGACGTGGGCTTTTATACTAGTAATCAAATATGACTACTATCAGACGTTAATCTAGACGAATAAGGACCTCAAATCAATCTGCAGTGGCAGTTGAATCTGGGCGGCACTCAGCAGCGCACCATTTACTGAAGTAATATTGGATGTAACTGTCATTAGAAGTGTTCCATAAAGCTTTGTTAAAAAAAATAATAAAATGTTGGGTGATGAGGGCAGGGGTAATATGCCCCATCACCCCATCAACACAGGTACGAAAAAACAACTATTACAGCATCCATTCACAAAGCAATCTAACTACTGCTGCTGCAGACACATCTGTGTCGATGTGTAGTGGGAGCCCTGGCAGTAATCCAAGTCAGATAAAACACAAAATAACCAATCAGATAGCAGATAAATTGGCTTTGCATCATATTTAGTACCACATGTCAAAGTTGCCCAAGTGTATTGTTTTAAGGGTGAAAAGATTGGAATTGGGCCATTTAGATGGCCATAAAGAAGTCGATGTGAGCAATACATATGCCAAAAGTTCAGATTTGGGTCACATCTGTCTGCTGTGTTAACATTCCTTTAGATTTACATGACAGGGAGCATCCCCTCTTAGTACTTTTAGCCTATTACATTTATCAAGAGAGAAGCAGTTATTCAGCATCAGAAAGGCATGGATTTAGTTGGAAACATATGTGACAGAAATTCGTACTTCTTTTTCAACATCCTCTTTCGTTCCTTTTCGGCAGTGATGAAATGAACTGTGTATCGGGCTCTGTGACTGTGTTCCCTCCTCCACCACCCCGTACACTGACTGGATCATAAAAGAACAAAAGATAGACAAGATAATGCCATTGAATGTGATGTGGGAATTCCCTCATTGTCACTGGCAGGTTTTACATTATTGCAGCCTCAGGCTTTTAACTCCTTTGGTTCCCTTCCACTTAAGGAATCAAACAGGAAAGTATTTTGCTAAAGGGAGGAAAAAAGGAACTTGAAGTCCGCCTCATATTAGTCCAGTTAGGTTTATACCAAACAGACGTCAGAAGGAAAATCAGAATCCAAGTTGTAGAGTGGGGGGTGGGGTTTGCTGTAAAACTTTGTCAAATAACTACCTTCCTCTAATGTCAGCAGAAAACAGAGATTGCCCAAAAACAAGGTGGGAAGGAAACATTTGAAAGATGCAATGCAAAACTTAAAATACAAGTGAAAACTTTTAAAAGGTCCTCATGTTCCCCTTTTTGAAAGTCAACCTGGACAACTGCCCAACTGCTTGTTACAATGCATTTAAAATAACCTATTATACTGTATCTAATTAATGAATTAAAGGTAGTTAAAACACATTATATTATATAGATAGCATTTTTTTACATTAATAAAAAGTCTCCCCGGCCAAGGGATTAGTTACTACATACCTTCTTAACTCTGTGTGGATCCTTCATGCGTCTACATTTTCTGATGTCCATCTCTGTGGTGTTAACACATCCAGGCTACAGGAAAATGAATAGAAAATATTTTTATGCCAATATTAGCAGGACTTCTAACAATGATTCAGTAGAAAGTTGGTAAAGATAGTATCTGCTGTTAGACGTGGAAAGATAAGTTGGTCAGCATCGCAGAAAGCCATTTACCACAGGTCTGTGGACATCCCAGAAGGCTCTTTCCTGGCTGTCAAGGATTTTTCTTTCAGTTTTATCCTTCTTTCTGTCGATCCTGGAAATGATATCAGTGGGAGACAGAAACAAAGCTTCAATCTTCTCATGTTGGACAAAAGATTCACGAAAAATAGGATCATGATGAACAGAGGTGAGGCTGTTAAGACGGAAATGTTTTAATTTTACGTAAGAAGAGTATGTAGTGATTATCAGAGGCTTTTAAAATCATCACTTTCACATGAACCACAATCATGAATGCTTGTTATGTCCATAAATCCAAGTATCTGCACATAAGATGGATGCAAATCTAAGTGGAACCAACTTAGCAGATTTGATGGCTTTTTCTGGTTGTATTAGACTTGGTTGTTCTGGACCACATTGGCGTCTGATACTCAGAAGCACCATAATGAAACTTTAGTTTTGAATAGGGTCCTTTTGTGGAAAATAAACTGGTGGCAATACTGGTTGTAAAACAGGCAAAATGACTGAAACTTTAAGCAAACGCAGGAGCAGAAAACTGTCTGAGCAAGAAATTATCTAAATGAAACTCGGGGAGAAATGAACCGAGGGAAAAATACATCAATCCAAAATAACTAGGAAAGACCAAACCAAATAGAAGCACTAGATTGAATGAACTACAAAGTAAATGGCAAGAAGTAAACAAAATTAAAATACGGAAAACTCCTAATGACAAAAATGAAAGAATGTGGCAAGATACAATACACAAAACTAATAAGCTTAAGACAAAACCAAAATACAAGAATCTTACTTTTTTTTTTATTTATTTTATTTATTTGTTTATTTTTATTTATTTTTATTTTATTTTTTTTTCCTGTTTTAATTTATTCAACAATACCGTCTTGCAAAGAACCATTCATGTCTGTTCCTTATAAACATTTTTAAAAAAGGAAACTTACAGATTTTAATAAATTGTTATTTTACCTTTATTGTAAATTATTTTAGTTTATGTTTGCTATTTTCTTATTAACTTACTTGACCTGGGCCTCAGCCTGCATGTAGATAAACTCCCACTTTCTTGCAAAGGCCCTCTGCAGTCTTGCTAAGTTTTCCTGTTGGGAGAGAGGCAGTTAATTTATATTTGAAATGTTCTACTCAAGCCTCTAATTATGGGATAAATATTTTAATAAAAACAACGATGGTACTGTACAACAGTATTGTTAGGTTTATTCTTTATACATCATGTGCATTGTTATTCTGTTTGCCAGATTAGACAGTAAAGGGGCCTTCCTTCACATTGTGGATGTCACTGTGTGTATGGAGGACATCTTATTGGGACAGCCTTCGTGTCTTTAGAAATACACAGGATATGGGCACATCTTGGAGCCGGCCTGATAAAGGGGAGCTATCTGTAATTCTTGGGCATAGAGGAAAGATGCATACAGGTCAGGGCATGGATGGCATGTCAGTTTCTGATACGGACAGCTGAGCTTCCACCTGATGTAAAACATGGACTCAGGAGGTATAAGCTGGAGGAGATGACCCTGTTCGGGGCTCAATCTTTGCTCAACTTTGTCGGATGCTCGCTGACGTTCTTTGAGCCCACAGCTGTGCAAACTCCAAGCAATTTCTCTGTCCTGTAACAACCTGATCTGGAATAAACTCTGTTACTTTTTACTCCTATTTTGATAGTCCTTTTTTATTTGGTTTTACCCAGTTTGAGTTAATAGTAATAAATAACTTGCTCCCAGGAAAAGAACCGGTAGGGAAGTTCTGAGGCGCAGCCGCTATCAGGGGGACATAACTTCCACATATTAACAGTATACAAAGATTTAATCTCTTATCACATTGTATTTTTGCCCAAAAGTTCCTCAAACCAAAACCCATAAAAGTTGAAAGTAACATTTCTCCACTCACCGCCTCATAATCTGCCAGCTCCAGTCTCGTCTTATTTTGCATGGTTCGCTTGCAAAGGTATATAGCTGAGAAAAAAAAAAATCAAAACTAGAAATTATTAGTGAAAACATTCTCTTAACCCATGTATAGGTCCTTTCATATGTGCCGTCTTAATTATATTCTTAGTCACCATTAAACAAGGTTAAAACTAATTCTATAAACTTGTTTGACAAACTTTAGAGATGTAACTTCTAAAACTAATTGAACATGATGGTAAGTCAGATATAGGCCAGGATTGATTTAATTATCTGTAATGGACTGGCAACCTGTCCAGGGTCCCAATCCCAAACCTTTAGAGACAGAAACAAGGCTGTCCTTCATGCTTTCTAAGTTCTCATACTGCCACATTCAGTTACTCCTAAGCCAGATTTCTGTGGATCCTTTAGCCTCACAATTGTAAGTAATAACATCCAGCTTTTAAAAAATATGCAAAAACATTAAATGTTTAATGAAATTAAATCACTTCATCGCCTCTTTTTTATATTTCTGATAAATCAACCTGGTTAAAAATCCAAGCCAACCCTAGAGCTATACTTAGGCTCAAGAGACAAGATTCCAGCTTTAACTGTGTTAATCTGAGACCTCATACTGATCTTAAATATAGCTTTTTTTTTTTTCTTTATTAGAATAACATATTTGGTCAAAATTTGATACAATGCTGTTCTTCACTCAAAACCATATATATAGATATAAATAAAACTCCTCACCCACTGCGGGTGGTCTCCCCCCTTTTTTCATCCAAACTCTGATCCTCTACCAGTGGCCTGAGAGTTTGAGGGTTCTGCGCAGTATTTGCTGTTCCTAGAACTGCACGTTTCTGGACAGACCTGTCTGATGTATTTCCAGGGACCTGCTGTAACCACTCCTCAGTTTTAGGAGTCACTGCCCTGAGTGCCCCAATGACCATGGGTACCGCTGATGCCTTGACCTTCCAGGTTTTCTCGAGCTCTTCTGAGCTCCTGGTATTTCTCCATTTTTTCCTGTTCTTTTTTACTGATGTTGCTGTCACTTGGTAGTATTGCCATGTCAACCACAATGGCTTTCCTCTGTTTTTTGTCCACCACCACAATGTCTGGTTGGTTTGCCATTAGGTTTATATATATATATATATATATATATAAACAAACCCTTAAAAGATTATAAACAAAACCTTCTTTCTTCTGATTCAAACAAGTGCACTACTTTGTACTGACCAAGTAAAACCATAAAGTACATAGAAGTTACCAATTGTAAATGGCTATAAATACTTCTGTGAAGAACTGTACAACCATGCGAGTCTTGCATAATTTCTGACAGCTTATAGAGGCCCGTGTGGAAGCAAGGATTGTTTAGAAGCAGAACCAGTTCTACCCTAACTGCTTCTTATTGAGAAATAATGGCTTCCTTAGAGAGTCAAACTCATTCCTTGTGTAGCCGTTAGGCAAATGAACCCAAGTGTTTGCATACTAATCAGAACACCCTCCATATCGGAAGAATCTCTACATGTAAAAACCCCACATTTAAAAAGTACTTTGTCAAAATGATCCTAATTGATCATTATCTTCAGTCTCCAGCCATTTCCTTCCATCATTAAAATCTCCAGTGTAACCTTATACACAAACTAGTGCAGCCTTTTGAAATCTTTACAGTATCTGGAATATGATATTGGGATTACATTATTTTTTTCCCTTCTTTTAAAAGAAGTCAAGTTGCTCATGTTGCAATGTAAAAATTAAGGTAATGACACAAAAAAAGTTGGAATAAGCTTTTTAAGTAGGTTCCATAAATTATATGATTTCATCTTATATTAACCAATGACCAGTGTTTTCATGAGCTGTATG